CTGTCTTTCCAAAATCACAAATAAACTTTGATACAGTCGGAGGTTCAGAACCAGGGTAATTAGGAGCTTTGGGTAAAGAACACTACTGTTTCTTTATTCATATTTACGAGCTTAGGTATACTGGGATCTCTGTGTAGACGCTCTGTGAATTAAAGACACACATTGGACTTTAAATCTTGTTCTTAGTTCCCCACAGATACAGTGGGAAGCTGTCTTATATACATCTTTATATGAAGATTCATTTTTTTTTTACCAGCATTGTTTGAGAGCAGTCTATCTGCCCATTGCTCTACCAGGCATTAGGGATATTGCAGTGAAGAATAAATCTGGTTCCTCCCTGCTCTGAGCTTTCAGTGTACAAGTAATTACATTGAAATAGGATCAATGCTAAGACAGGATGTTATTGGTGCTCACTGTTTTGGTATCTAACCTAATCTGGGGGCCAGGGAAGAATCCTGGAGAAAGTGACATTTAAGTGGAACCTGATAGAGAAACAGGTTGTTGCCAGAGCAAGAAGAAATGAATGGGTAGTGAGGACGAATGTTCCAAGTGAAGTGATAACGTGTCAAGTTTCGGGTGGGAGAGAGGTCTATCCAGGGAAATGAAAAGACATTGCATATGGTGAGATGAGTCTGGACTGTAGTGGGTCTCAGTCTTCACTGAACTCTGGGTGAGTGTTTTAAGTCTGGCTTCCCTCAGAGAATGCAAAATCTGTGAAGTCAGAAAGCTAGTCTGTCCTGTTCATAGCTGTAAACTCTACACCTATCAGGCATGTACCCACTGTGCCTGATACTTGAAATGCACTTGATAATAGTTTGTTGAAGGAATGTGTTACTGTGAACCTTAGTTTACCTCTTTGAAATTCGTTATGCTCATCGACCCTCATCACAAACTTGTAAATAAAACTAAAAATGTGAAAACACTTTGTAAATTGTAAAACATGCTACTTGTTTAAAAGCTGTATGATACTATGTTGCAAACATGTCTAATGCAGTACCTCTGTTGTACTCCTAATGGTTGTCTTTCTGGGAATCATGTTTACTCCACTCAAGTCAGAAAAAAATCCCTAAAACATCATATTAATGATCCATTCATATGTAATACAAAGTAATTTGATTAGTTAGGAAAAACCATCAGCCTGTTTACTTCCTCTTACCATTTCCCAAAGTGGTTTCTATCATCTTCGCCTATTTTCTACTAAGTAACCATTAATCAATGGGAAGTAATTACGCTTTCCCCCGGCCCAGATTAGATCCTATCTTGTTGCTCATTGTGTACTCATTTTATTTACACCAGTGAATCATTAACTCCTTGAAAGCAGGCATCTTGATCCTTTTATCTTCAGCATCCAATGGCTGTTAGCTGCTACTGAATATTTGTTGGTAGACATTTTTATTTTATTTGAGACGAAGTCTTGCTCTGTGGCTCAGGGTGGAGTGCAGTGACGCGATCTTAGCTCACTGCAACCTCCGCTTCCTGGGTTCAAGAGATTCTCCTGCCTCAGCCTCCTGAATAGCTGGGACTACAGGTGTGTGCCACCACATCCGGCTAGTTTTTTTTTTGTTGTTGTTGTTGCATTTTTAGTAGAGATAGGTTTTATCCATTGGCCAGGCTGGTCCTGCCTGACATGGACTTCCAAAGTGCTAGAATTACAGGTGGGAGCCACCTTACCCGGCCACATTGGTTAAATTTAATAGGTAAATTTATCCTGGAAATTGATGTTATACCTTTACTCATTCCCAAAATGGCAACAGACTGTACATAATTTTATTTGAATACACTTATATGATCACTGGTTATTATATTACCAAATGCTTTATATACTTTAAATAATTTGAGAGGCAAAAGGATCAATATGTAGGGCTACTGGATTTCATTTTATTTCCCAAGTTTCCAGTGTTTTTCTTGTTGTAGGCATACCAAATAATGAGTAATAATGAATGAGGCCATTTTACATTTTTTTTTTTTTTTTTTGAGATGGAGTCTCACTCTGATGCCCAGGCTGGAGTGCCGTGGTGCGATCTTGGCTAATGCAACCTCTGCCTCCTGGGTTCAAGTGATTTTCCTGCCTCAGCCTACTGAATAGCTGGGATTACCGGCATGCGCCACCATGGCCAACTAATTTTTGTATTTTTAGTAGAGATGGGGTTTCACCATGTTGCCCAGGCTGGTCTCTTATTTCTGACCTCAGGCCATCCGCCCGCCTCAGCCTCTCAAAGTGTTGGGATTACAGGCATGAACTACCTCGCCTGACCCATTTTACTATTTTCTATAAGAAATGATAATGGGGCCGGGCGCGGTGGCTCAAGCCTGTAATCCCAGCACTTTGGGAGGCCGAGGCGGGTGGATCACAATGTCAAGAGAACGAGACCATCCTGGTCAATATGGTGAAACACCGTCTCTACTAAAAATACAAAAAATTAGCTGGGCATGGTGGCGCATGCCTGTAATCCCAGCTACTCGGGAAGCTGAGGCAGGAGAATAGCCTGAACCCAGGAGGCGGAGGTTGCGGTGAGCCGAGATTGCGCCATTACACTCCAGCCTGGGGAACAAGAGCGAAACTCTGTCTCAAAAAAAAAAAAAAAAAAAAAAAAGAAGAAGAAATGATAATGGAAAGTTAAGAATGTCAGCAAGCATTTTTTCGGATTTTTAAAGGCCTACTTTATTTTGTTTGCATCTCTCTATGGTCTGCTAAATAGTTTCCTGTTTACAGCACTTAAAAGAAGTATGTGCTTATATGTTTTGCTCTTTAATTTTTTTTTGAAATGTAGTCTTGCTGTGTTGCCCAGGCTGGAGTACAGTGGCAAGATCTTGGCTTACTGCAACCTCTGCCTCCCGGATTCAAACAATTCTCCTTCTTCAGCCTCTCAAGTAGCTGGGACTATAGGCGCCTGCCACCATGGGCCTGGCTAATTTTTTATATTTTTAGTGAAGATGGGGTTTCACCGTTAGCTAGGATGGTCTAGATCTCCTAATCTCTTGATCTGCCGGACTCAGCCTCCCAAAGTGCTGGGATTACAGGTGTGAGCCATGGCGTCCAACCACTTGCTCTTTAATTTTGACTTAATTATTATACATACAAACAAGTCTCTTGATCTTGCCCATAAAACAGTTCCTGAAGCTTCTCAGTACTTGTTGCTTTCATATCAACCCTGCCTGGCAATTAGCTCTTATTTTTTTGTCAAGTAAGTTCAGACACAGAATAGTCTAAGCATTCTGGAGGAAGAGCTCTCTGAAATTAATTTAAAAATAAACTTCCTTAGAATTTGTGATTTTTTTTGGGTTCATGTCTACATTTCCCACATCTTCTTTCTTTATAGTGATAAATTTAGTTAAATAGAAAAACCTCTCCTGTTCATGTTTAAAAATAAAAGAAAAACCTTTTTGTGAAGGCAAAAGTAATGAGGCGGGAATGCTTTTTGTGTGTATATCCTGTGGTTTCCTTTTTCTTTGAGACAGAGTCTCGCTGCCACTCAGGCTGGAGTGCAGTGGCGTGATCTCGGCTCACTGCAACCTCTGCATCCCAGGTTAAGCGATTCTCCATTCTCAGCCTCCTGACCAGCTGGGACCACAGGTGTCTGCCACCACGCCAACTACTTTTTGTATTTTTAGTAGAGATGGGGTTTCACCATATTGGCCAGGCTGGTCTTGAACTCCTGACCTTATGATCCACCCACCTCGGCCTCCCAAAGTGCTGGGATTACAGGCATGAACCACAGCGCCTGGCCGACTTACTCATTCATTAATTCACATATCTCATCTATTAAATGTGTAACACATTGCCAATAATCTAACGCACTGATGTCGTTTAAATTTTCCTTCTGAGGCCGGGCGCGGTGGCTTACGCCTATAATCCCAGCATTTTGGGAGGTCGAGGATGGTGGACCATCCTGGTCAACATGGTGAAACCCCGTCTCTACTAAAAAAAAAACAAAAAAATTAGCTGGGCGTGGTGGTGCCCTCCTGTAGTCCCAGCTAATCGGCAGGCTGAGGCAGGAGAATTTCTTGAACCCAGAAGGCGGAGGTTGCGGTGAGCCGAGATCACGCCATTGCACTTCTGGGTAACAGTGAAACTCCATCTCAAAAGTAAATAAATAAATAAATAAAATTTCCTTCTGAATTTATCTTTATTTCATACCAAGGTCTTGAGAATTAGATTCGGGTTAAACGGTTTTCAAGTTTTAGGGACAGTAGTTCGTTGTCTGCAAACATTGAAATTGTTAAGCAACAATAAAAGACAGGCCTCTCAATTTGATTTTTTTCACTAATTTTTCTTAATATGTCTGTGACGTGCGTTGTAAGTAAAAAGCGAGGACACTCCCTTGTGTTTTCAAACACCAAGCAAGTCTGCTGTGCTCCCGGGCTTTTTCTCCTTTGGCAGGTCGCTCGTCTCCACTCGCCCGGAGTGCCCCTATTCCTCAGGCAATCCCTCTGACACCAACTTTTTACTTTACCAAGATATAAACTAACCTTGCTTGTTTATTTTCGGCGTCAATCCTCCCCATGCTTGTCCCTTACAGTTGAGCGGCGCTGGCCTGCTCACTGCATTTCTGTTAAATAAACTCAGCATTTTCAAGTAGCCAAGACCAGCCATTCCCAGCGTGATGGGACATTATCGTAACTTTGCAGGACTCCGTACAAGTCGCAAGTCGCGTGGAAAATGAATCTGCAGACGCTTGCTTGCTCTCCAGACAGAAACTCTGACCTCACACTCACCCTTCCCACCCCAATTCTCGCTCGGGTATTGAAAGGCCTGGGAACCGTCTCTCTAACTTTACCCAGAAAAGGCCTAGGTAAAGACCTGATCTCCCGCGCCAAGGACCCCGGTGTCGCCACGTCTATTGGCGTGCGTGACGTTAGCGCGCTTGCGCGCATGGAGGCCCGCCCCCCCCCTTACATCCGGGGCCTGGGCGGCGGCAGGGCCGCCGCGCGGGGGTCACGTGGTTTCTTCCTTTCCGTCTTTGGCCGGCTGGGCGCGGGCGACTGCTGGCGAGGCGCGTGGAACCTTACGCTGGTTCCCCTTCGTCTCCTCTCCCGGCCCGGGCCATTAGGGAGTTTGCTGACGCCGGGTGAGCTGAGCCAGCCGCCAAGATGCCAGCCTATTTTCAGAGGCCGGAAAATGCCCTCAAACGTGCCAACGGTAAGTAGCTGATCCCTGGCGTGCCGGGCTGGGGCGGCCCGAGGCCTCGGAGGTCGAGAGTCCGGGCCTGCTTCCCACTGCTCCGCCGCCCGGCCTGCGGCGAGAGAGGAGACCGATGCGGCCTGTCCGCCGCCGTCCCAGCCCGTAGTTGGGCATTGGATTTCCTTTTCCCTCCACCGACTGGGGTCTGGGAGGCGCGGAGCCCGGAACCGTCGCCCAGGGTCCCTTCCTCCCTCCCACCGCCTCAGGGTGCGTCGCGGGGACTGCAGCCCGGGAGACAGCCCTTACCCGGGCCGGAGCTCCTTCCCCGCTGCCTTACTCCGCTGGCTCTCCAGGTCCCCGGGGCTTTGGTCTGCTTAGGCCCCGCGCCCCTGGCCGCCATCTGGGAGTGCCGGGGAGTAAGAAACATGGCTCCCTCCCGGGGACAATGCGTGCTAGAGCCTCGGCTCCACCTCCTGCCCGGGCCGGGAGCCCTACGGACCCACCTCCGGCCTCCCCGCAGCCACCCTCGCTCTCTGAAGCCGCGCTCGGTGCTTTGCTGGGTCAGGGTCCACTTACTTTTCACCCAGCCGCTTTATATCCACTTAGGGGCCTCTAACCCATTTAACGTGATTCTTTTTTTCCCTAGCATTCATTAGAAGCAGTCCGAAAGCCTGTTTTGAATCACTGAAGTTAGAATAGAGTTAACGTAAAAGGGACTTGAGGTCTCCTTTAAAGATAAACGAAACAGGCCTAGAGAGAGGTTTCCCCAAGGTCACTCCGGGAGTTGTCGAGCCAAGAGAGTAAAACCAACATCTCCTGACATTCAGATCACTCCTTTTTTTCTCGTTTTTTTCTGCCCAGCACTGCTGTTCTGCTATTTCTATTTCCGTATGTGTGCTTAAGCCTTTGGGGCTTGAGGGAAAAAGTTGTGTGCCCCGATCGCCAAGGCATTTGTTACCTTGGCGTTCTGAGGATGCACGTTCTTGCTTGTCTCTTAAGAAACTTTTGTTTTTTTTCCCCCCAACCAGGCATTTTTTTTTTAAATCATTGGGCATGCATAGCTCTTATTTTCATCTTTACTTCACCAAAACAGAAGTTTTGGGTCTTATCCATGTTGTAGATGAATATACCATGTGAGTTACAGTCTCATGTTTGGAGAGCTTATTTTGTTAGGTTCTTTGAAAATACATCTCGTGAAAACAGCAGTTTGAGTCAGCACATAAACTGATAATCTGGCAGGACCAGAGATATGTTGGTCATACACTTTTTGTTTGAAAGTAACACTTTTGTGGGGAGGGAACTGGTCGATGGAATAGGATAATTCCACAATGTGTGGAATGGAGTCATTGTTTTAAAAAACAAACTACAACCTAGGTGTGATCATGAATTCATTCTAATGATAATCAGTGATCTAATGATAATCAGTGATCTAATGGTTAGAGCAGACAAATTTTAGGATGTTAATTAATATGTTGGAAAGAATAGATTGAAATGGAACTTTGTCACTATAAACCAAACGGTAGCAAAGTTTGACAACTTAGAATTTGTAGTATACAAAATGACCTGTGTGAAATTACTGCTCTGCATGGCTGTTGTCGATGTCTTACAGTCATCTGCATGCTTTGCCCAACAGGTATTTTTTTCCCCATGCTAGTAGGCTGAAGCACTATAATGGCCTAAATATTGCATATTTGTTCAGGCCTTGCTTTCTTCATTGCTTCTCTTTTTGGAATCTTCATAAGAACTTGATATAGAAAAGATACGTAATGTGCATCAAACATTTTTTTCCTGTTTCTAAATTGGCATAGGCTTGATTCATGAAGGGCAGGTCCAGGAAAGTATCTGAAATTTAAGTAGAGAAGATGAGGGGCACTGTTGAGGGAACTTTTAATTTTGCTTGTGTAGCTTTTTAAAAAAGACTGTGGACACCTTGCTTGCAGCCCTTTGAAGCTGTAGGATGGGGACACATGCCTTACTGTCAGAGTAGAAATTCATGCCTTTGATCTTGTGAGGGATCCCTTCTCAAAGTGAGGTTGTGGATGGCCCAGTGCCATGCTTCCAAAGTCAGTGAAGGATCAAAGGGCATTTTCTTTTTTTTTTTTTTTGAGATGGAATTTTGTTCTTGTTACCCAGGCTGGAGTGCAATGGTGCGATCTTGGCTCACCGCAAACTCCGCCTCCTGGGTTCAGGCAATTCTCCTGCCTCAGCCTCCTGAGTAGCTGGGATTACAGGCATGTGCCACCATGCCCAGCTAATTTTTTGTATTTTTAGAGAGACTGGGTTTCACCATGTTGACCAGGATGGTCTTGATCTCTTGACCTCGTGATCCACCTGCCTCGGCCTCCCAAAGTGCTGGGATTACAGGCTTGAGCCACCGCGCCCGGCCTAATTTTTGTGTTTTTTTTAGTAGAGATGGGGTTTGACCATGTTGCCCAGTCTGATCTGGAACACTTGGCCTCAAATGATCTGCTTACCTCGGCCTCCCAAAGTGTTAGGATTGCAGGTGTGAGCCACTGTGCCTGGCCAAGGAATCATAAGTTTTTATTGGCTGTTCAGGAAGTGAAAAATGGTTTCAGTTCCATGTCTAAACAAACTCTTTTGAGATTGGGAGTTGGGTACAGTAGTTGCTGCTTTGATTTTCTTAAAGTATAAATTCACTTAAAGGCATTTACTCCCAAGTTTTTTGATAAGAGACTGTTTTTGTTAAATAGTTACGAAGGACACCTAATTTATTGTTAACATTTTATTTTATATTTTTATTGTTATATATTTTTTTGAGACCGTCTCCCTCTTGCCCAGGCTGGAGTGTAGTGGCACAGTCTTGGCTCACTGCACCTCTGTCTCCTGGGTTCAAGTGATTCCTATGTCTCAGCCTCCTGAGTAGTTGGGATTATAGGCGTGTACCACCACACCCAGCTAATTTGTGTTTTTAGTGGAGACAAAGTTTCACCATGTTGGCCAGGCTGGTCTTGAACTCCCTACCTCAGATGATCTACCCCCCCTTGGCCTCCCAAAGGGCTGGGATTACAGATGTGAGCCAGGGCGCCTGGCTGTACTGTTAGATTTTAGAAAACATTATGTGCCCTATAGGAAGAAGACTGCAAGTTTTTCCTCTCCCACCCCCACCCCCCACTATCAGGGAAGACTTTTTTTTTTTTTTTGAGATAGTCTTGCTCGGTAGTGGAGGCTGGAGTGCAGTGGCATGATCTTGGCTCCCTGTAACTTCCACCTCTGGGATTCAAGTGATTATCCTGCCTCAGCCTCCCAAGTAGCTGGGATTACAGGTGTGCACCACCATGCCCGCTAATTTTTTGTATTGTCTTATTTTTGAGGCGGAGTCTCACTCTGTAGCCCAGGCTGTAGTGCAGTTGCATGATCTCCCTCACTGTAACCTCCACCTCCCTGATTCAGCAATTCCCCTGGCTTCAGCTGATTTTTTTGTATTTTTAGTAGAGACTGGGTTTCACTATGTTTACCAGACTGATCTTTACCAGACTGGTCTTGAACTCCTGACCTCAGGCAGTCTGTCCGCCTATTCCTCCCAAAGTGCCAGGATTATAGGCCTGAGCCACCAGGCCTGGCCATTTTTTATATTTTTAGTAGAGGGGGTTTCACCATATGGCCAGGCTTGTCTCGAGCTCCTGACCTCAGGTGATCTGTCCATGTCAGCCTCCCAAGGTGCTGGGCTTACAGGTGTGAGCCACCATGCTCGGCCACAAACTTTTTAATATGTTGGAGAGGTGGAGTATTTTTTGTGGTTTTCCTGGAGGAAAGAATGTTGGGAAGCATCATTTCTGGAAGATATGATAGTTGAAAGAAGAAATGGTAGAAAGAGAATTATTAATTTGTGGATCTAGTAAGCCCCCCAAATAAGGGACATGTTTGCCTATTGGTTGCCTAGCAGAGTTAGTAGATAATGCTATATATTATCAACTCTTAAAAGAAAAAGCATTCTGGCCAGGTGCAGTAGCTCACGCCTATAATTTCAGTACTTTGGGAGGCTGAGGCAGACAGATCACAAGGTCAGGAAATTGAGACCATACTGGCTGACATGGTGAAACCCTGTCTCTACTGAAAATACAAAAAATTAGGTGGCCATGGTGGCAGTGTGTACCTGTAAGTTGCAGCCACTCCAGAGGCTGAGGCAGGAGAATCGCTTGAACCTGGAAGGTGAAGGTTTCAGTGAGCTGAGGTCATGCCACTGCACTCCAGCCTGAACGATGGAATGAAACTGTTTCAAAACAAAACAAAACAAAACCAAACCAAAAAAAATTCTTCTAAGGAAAATAATGATATTTTTAAAAAGGAGATATGCATAGTGTTTTAAGGCTTTTTTTTTTAAATAGTGTAAACTAGTGTTTTAGTTCCCCCAAATTATTTTTTACATGTTCAGTGGAAAGTTTGTGTGTGTGTGAAATTTGGCAATTAGTGAATGTTAAGATGAATTTAACCAGTTGATTTAGGTTAAATAATCTCTTTTCTCCCCCAGTCTATTAAGTGTACAAAAGAAAATAAAAGATGATGAAATGTAAGGTTTTTTTTTTTTTTTTGAGACAGAGTCTCGCTCTGTTACCCAGACTGGAGTGCAGTGGTGCAATCTCAGCTCACTGCAACCTCCGCCTCCCAGGTTCAAGCGATTTTCCCTGCCTCAGACTCCTGAGTAGCTGGGATTTCAGGTGCCCGCCACCATGCCCAGCTAATTTTTGTATTTTTAGTAGAGACGAGGTTTTGCCATGTTAGCCTGGAGTTAGACTGGTCTCAAACTCCTGACCTCATGTAATCCACCCGCCTTGGCCTCCCAAAGTGCTGGAATTATAGGTGTGAGCCACTGCGCCCGGCTCCCTGTTGATTTTTAGTAACAACTAATGAACCAGTACTGACACATTATTAACTGAAATTCATTTTACATTCAGATTTCCCCCCAGCTTTTCCTAATGTCTTTTTCTGTCCTGGTATCCTATCCAGGATACATTATATTTAGTTGTCATATTTCCTAATTCTCCTCTTGATGGCTACAATTTCTCAGTCTTGTCTTTTGTTTTTCAAATAGTCGTGGGTACTTCTTCATGTCTTTCCTTATTTTTGATGACTTTAATAGTTTTGAGGAGTACTGGTCAGGTATTTTGTCAAGTGTCCTTTTTCTTAGTCTGTGGCTGCTGCTGACATAATACCACTGCTTGAACATTGTAAACATCGGGAATTTATTTCTCGGAATTCTTGAGGCTGGGAAGTCCAGGATCAAGATTTGTTGACAAGACACCCACAGATTTGGTGTCTGGCGAAAGCTGGCTCTCTGCTTTTATGGTGGTGTTTTTTTTTTGAGACGGAGTTTTGCTCGTTACCCAGGTTGGAATGCAGTGGCGCGATCTCGGCTCACCGCAACCTCCGCCTCCTGGGTTCAGGCAATTCTCCTGCCTCAGCCTCCTGAGTAGCTGGGATTACAGGCACGCACCACCATGCCCAGCTAATTTTTTGTATTTTTAGTAGAGACGGGGTTTCACCATGTTGACCAGGATGGTCTCGATCTCTTGACCTCGTGATCCACCCACCTCGGCCTCCCAAAGTGCTGGGATTACAGGCGTGAGCCACCGCACCTGGCTATGGTGGTGTTTTTTTACTGCCTTTTCAGGAGTGGATGGACAAGCACTGTGTCCTCACACTGGAAGGGACTAGCTATTTCCCTCAAGCCCTTCCACAAGGCTCTACCCTGATGACTACCTATGGGCTCTACCTCTTAATCATCTTGTATTGAGTTAAGTTTTTCTTTTTTTCTTTTTTCTTTTCTTTTTTTTAAGATGGGGTTTCACCATGATGGCCAGACTGGTCTTAAACTCCTGACCTCAGGTGATCCACCCGCCTCGGCCTCCGAAAGTGCTAGGATTACAGGCGTGAGCCACCGCGCCTGGTCATTTTTCCTTAATGTTTTTTTTTTTTTTTTTAAAGACAGGGTTTCCCCATGTTGGTCAGGCTGGTATTGAATTCCCGACCTCAGGTGATCCGCCCGCCTTGGCCTCCAAAGTGCTTGGATTACAGGCGTGAGCCACTGTGCCCGGCCAAGAATTAAGTTTTAATACGAATTTTGGGTGGACACAAAACATTCAAACCATACCATCCTTCAATTGGGGTTTATCTATTTATTTTTTCATATTTAGAATGGGGTAAATAAGTGGGGAGAGATTCTGTATTTAAACTTGATCTATAGAGTCAGTGCAGTTCAATTAAAAGCCCAGTGAGTTATTTTGTAGATAACTACCACTGATAATAAAATTTACATGGAAAGATAAAAGACCTACTATAGTCTGTACAGTCCTGAAGAATAAAGTTGGATTTTAAGACTTTAGTAGAAGACACAGCAGTAATCAATACAGTGTGGTAGTGCTGAAAACTAGACACATTGGCCAGGTGCGGTGAGCTTCATTTCAGCACTTTGGGAAGATGAGGTGGGCACAGATCACCTGAGGTGTCAGGAGTTCAAGACCAGCCTGGTTAACACGGTGAAACCCTGTCTCTACTAAAAAATACAAAAATTAGCTGGGTGTGGTAGTGGGCGCCTGTAATCCCAACTACTTGGGAGGTTGAGGCAGGAGACACACTTGAACCCAGGAGGTGGAGGTTGCAGTGAACCGAAATCATGCCACTCTACTCCAGCCTGGGTGACAAGAGTGAGACTCTGTCTCAAAAAAGAAAAAAAAAAATGCCGGGCACAGTGGCTTACACCTGTAATCCCAGCACTTTGGGAGGCTGAAGCAGGAGAATCTCTTGAACCCAAGAGGTAGAGGTTGCAGTGAGCCGAGATTGCACCACTGCACTCCAGTCTGACTTGTCTCAAAAAAAAAATTCTAGACACATTGATTAGTAGAGAATGATCAAAATAGAAAGCCCAGAAATAGCCTTACTTAGCTATAGTTAACTGATCTTAAAGTAGCCAAGGCAATCTAATATATTTCTTTACCTCATATTGTAGCATGAACTAGTAAAAATTTCATTAACTAATTCAGCGTGACTGTAAAGTCATATTTGAATTTTTCTGTGTTTGCAGTGGGAGATTTTCTTCTTCACTAGTCATTTCAGTTTCTGGAACTTTTTTTTTTTTTAGATGGAGTCTTGCTCTGTCATGCAGGCTGGAGTGCAGCGGTGCAATCTCGGCTCACTGCAACCTCTGCCTCCCAAGTTCAAGCAATTGTCCTGCTTCAGCTTCCCTAGTAGCTGGGACTATAGGCGCATGCCACTACGCCCGGCTGAGTTTCGTATTTTTAGTAGAGACGGGGTTTCACCATGTTGGCCAGGCTGGTCTCACAGTCCTGACCTCTGGTGATCCACCTGCTGCGCCTTTCCAAAGTGTTGGAATTACAGGCTTGAGCCACTGCGCTTGGCCTGGAACTTTTAAATCACAGTGTAATACAGTTATACTTACAGATCATGTTTTGATACAGTACAAATCTCTTTATTGTTTTACCTTTGATAATTATGGCATATCTTTAGAAGTCAAAAATAACTAACCTCATAAAATGTTGGGAGTTGGGGAATTAAAACAGCTGGTCAAAAAAAGTAAAGTTTAACCTGGCAGGGGAGATACCATGATCACGAAGGTGGTTTTCCCAGGGTGAGGCTTCCATTCATTATACTCTGAATGTGCTGACCCCTGCGATTTCCCCAAATGAGGGAAACTCAAGTGCATAGTTTGTGATAGTGGGGGACTGTGTTTGCGCTTTCTCCTGGTTTAAAAATAAAAAATAAAAAAATAAGAAAAGTGAAGTTTAGACTTTTTGTTTAGTGTACATGACTAATTTTAATTCTGCATTTTTCAGAATTTCTTGAGGTTGGCAAAAAGCAGCCTGCTCTGGATGTTCTTTATGATGTTATGAAAAGTAAGAAACATAGAACATGGCAGAAGATACACGAGCCAATTATGTTGAAATACTTGGAACTTTGCGTGGATCTTCGCAAGAGCCACTTGGCTAAGGAGGGCTTATACCAGTATAAGAACATTTGTCAACAGGTACAAACAGAACTGGGTTGTATATTTTTAATAAGTGCTTTTAGTAATCTGCAGAAGAGCTAACCTTTCAAAGTTAATATATTTTATTTCTCTTAAAATTTGCCTTGAAATCATAGTTCATTGGAAAAATAGGTTTTAAGTTCTGAAGAGTTTTTGTATCTTTGGATTAGGTGAACATAAAATCTCTAGAGGATGTGGTTAGGGCATATTTGAAAATGGCTGAGGAAAAAACTGAAGCTGCTAAAGAAGAATCCCAGCAGATGGTCTTAGATATAGAAGATCTGGATAATATTCAAACTCCTGAGAGGTATGTGGTTTAGACATCTATTAAATGCTGTGTTAATTTAGTGTTTTCCTTTACATGGGTCTTCATCCCTGTTTGAAATAGATGTTTATCAGAAAAAAATGTTAATCTTTGAAGTTTTGAATGTATGGTAACCAATAAATTTATGTAGGTAATAATCACAATTCATAGAAGTGGAAAATGAAAAGCCTTTTTTTTTTTAAATTTCTTTTTGACAAGCCTTAAGATAGAAGGGCAAATACTAAATTAAATGATCATAATGCAGATTGGGAATTCAGGGAGTAGATAGTGACACCTTTGCAGTGTATACACAATTGTGAAAGAATTTGCACTGTTTTCTGATGGAAATTGTTGGTTTTGGTTTTTAATCATATGGCAAAGTAGGACACTGTCTAAAATTGTTTTCAACGTTTTTTTTCTGTCTTTGTAGTGTTCTCCTAAGTGCTGTAAGTGGTGAAGACACTCAGGATCGTACTGACAGATTACTTTTAACTCCATGGGTTAAATTCCTGTGGGAGTCTTACAGGCAGTGTTTGGACCTTCTTAGAAACAATTCTAGAGTAGAGCGTCTTTACCATGATATTGCCCAGCAAGGTAAGATGAGAAGATAAAATCTGAGTGACATGCTGTGGAATTGACTGAGGAGTAAATTTTGCAAATGAACCCCTTTTCTGAAGAGTGCTTAAAATGAACTAGTTTTTATTCTTACTGAAATGTTGGCATTCACATGAGTGTTAAATGACTGAAGCCTGATGCGGTGGCTCACACCTGTAATCCAGGCAGGCAGATCACTTGAGGTCAGGAGTTTTGGGGCAACCTGGCCAACATGGTGAAAACCCCTTCTCTACTAAAAATACAAAAAAAATTAGCTGGGCATGATGGTGCATGTCTGTAACTGCAACTACTCGGGAGGCTGAGATGGGAGGATTTCTTGAACCCAGGAGGTGGAGGTTGCAGTGAGCCAAGATGGCACCACTACACTCCAGGCTTGGTAACAGCAAGACTCTGTCTCAAAAAAAAAAAGAAACACCAAAAATGACTGAATAAGAAATTTGTTTTACTTATTAAGGGAGTTTCATGTGAATTGTATTTAATTGATGCCTGAAAGATCTTTTGTTTTTCTTTTTACACAAACATCAGTAACAGTGAAAGACATTTTATAGTCATTTTTCATTTTGGAATTCTCCATGTGACTGGAACAATAAAGTCCCCCGCCCCCGCTTTTTTTTTTAATAGGAAATTCAAGTACCCTACTGTTGCTTTTTTTCAAATTTTATTTTATTAATTAATTAATTTATTTATTTATTTAAGATGGGGTTCACCATGTTGGTCAGGCTGGTCTTGAACTCCTGACCTCAGGTGATCCTCCTGCCTTGGCCTCCAAAGTGCTTGGATTACAGGTGTGAGACACCACGCCCGGTTCTAAAATTTATTTTTAAAAAAAGAGCTAGGGTCTTGCTTTGTTGCCCAGGCTGGTCTTAGACTTCTGGACTTAAGTCATCCTCTTGTTTTGGCCTCCTGAAGTGCTGGGATTACAGCTGTGCCCAGCCTGAATTTTCACTTTAAACACAAGTAAATTTGGATTTTTTGCTAGCTGTTGATATAAATATGACCTTGAAGTTAAACTGCAACTCCATTTTAGGCCTGTTAAAATAGACATACTTTTTTTTTTTTTTTGAGACAGAGTCTCGCTCTGTCACCAGGCACCAGGCTGGAGTGCAGTGACGCAATCTCGGTTCACTGCAACCTCCCCCTCCTATGTTTAAGCAATTCTGCCTCAGCCTTGCGAGTAGCTGGGATTATAGGCGCTCGCCACCACGCCCAGGTAATTTTTGTATTTTTAGTAGAGACGGGGTTTCACCGTATTGGCCAGGATGGTCTCAATCTCTGGACCTCGTGATCTGCCTGCCTCGGCCTCTCAAAGTGCTAGGATTATAGTCATGAGCCACCATGCCCAGCCTAGGCATACTATTTCTTCTTTTTTTTTTTTTTTTTTTTTTTTTGAGACGGAGTTTTGCTCTTTTTGCCCAGGTTGGAGTGCAATGGCATGATCTCGGCTCACCACCGATTCCACCTCCGGGTTCAAGCGATTCTCCTGCCTCAGCCTCCCAAGTAGCTGGGAGTACAGGCGTGTGACACCTCTCCTGGTTAATTTTGTATTTTTAGTGGAGATGGGTTTCTTCATGTTGACCAGGCTGGTCTTTGAACTCTTGACCTCAGGTGATCTGCCCGCCTCGGCCTCCCAAAGTGCGGGGATTACAGGCTTGAGCCACTGTGTCTGGCCCTAGACATACTATTTTTAAAGGCAAAGGAAGTCTAAAAAATACTCTGATATTACATATGTGACAGTAAAAAATTAATGTGTGCATTTAAATGACAGAAAAAGTAGTTCATACATGCATCTATGTAATCTGTTGAAATTAGGTTACCATAAGCCTTCAATTTGTATTTTATAGTTTTAATTCGTATGGAACCTTGTTGCTTTCTATGTAAGTTAGATATCAAAGTTCATCGTATTTCAGACTGGAATTTCTTAGGATTTAAAGTGATGGGCCTTTGAAAGTTGACTCTTAGATCTAAATTCTAGTTTCCTATTTGTAAACTCTGCCAGAACCATGTTTTAGTTCTAGGCAAGGACTGATGATTATGTCTTTGGTAAAAAGGTGGTCTAGATGAAATAGTTGATTGTCACTGTATCACAAAGACCAATGATAAGTTTGGGGAATCCTATTAAAATAACTGATTTTAATGTGTGAAATAAAACCTATTCAAATACTGAAGTAGACAGTGGAAGGTACCTAATATATTTTACAATTATGCTTATAGCTTTCAAATTCTGCCTCCAATACACGCGTAAGGCTGAATTCCGTAAACTGTGTGACAATTTGAGAATGCACTTATCGCAGATTCAGCGCCACCATAACCAAAGTACGGCAATCAATCTTAATAATCCAGAGAGCCAGTCCATGCATTTGGAAACCAGACTTGTTCAGTTGGACAGTGCCATCAGCATGGAATTGTGGCAGGTATGTTGGAACTATTAGTTTTTCTTTCTAGAAATAATAGTTTGTGTTACTTTTTTACCCCCTTAATGAATAGCTTCATCTTCGTATGCATTGGTTAATTTCAGTAGATTAGGTAAGGAATTAAAATTGCCTGATGGTCTGTGAAAAGTTCTCAACAGGAAATCTCAGAATATCTTTGTTCTAGTTGGCTTCTATGAATTCTGGACCAAACCATGTAATATCTTTCAGACACAGTTTCTCGGCATATAAAACAGTACGTCGCCAGTACTGCTCAAATGTGGTTTCATGACTGCTGTCATTTGTGAACTGTCTGGACTGTGATGAAATCAGTATAGAGGAGAAAAGCATATGCAGAGTTTCTTAGTAGGCATTTTATTGTAAATTTTTTGTGTGTTTACTATGATAAAAATTGAGCTTTTTCTGTTTCATTTTTGTGGTAATTTTGCATTTTATATTCTTTGGTAAGAGGTTAGAAATTAAAAAAAAACAAAAACGAATCCTTTACTACTGGTTGTTGCAGAAGTGCTGCCATAGGTTATTTCGAGATTTCTTAGTGCGGCTTTAGCTGACTGTTGTGCATTGGAGATCTCTGTGGTGGTGGCGGGAAGCTAGTCCTCTACCTGGCCCTTCTCTAAGAATTCTACAAAGATACTCCATACAATTGTGTAGTCATGTGACTTTGAAGTCTTTTATATATTTGACGGACAATATTTTATTGAAATTATAGAGGAAGAAACTAAAAATTGGGAGTCTTTGAGCCAAGTGAAACTGATTCCATGTCTTGTTCTTCCCTATGTTTCCTTTTCTGTAGGGACACCCATGTTAAAATACTACCAGTAGAAGATAAGTAAACATGCTCATGATAGAAAAACAATGTATAAGTTAAGAGAAATATTCATCCATTATCTTATCACTGAGAAATAACTTGTTGTATGTCCTTCTAGATTTTTTTCTTATTGCCTCGAGTGATGGGATAATATGCAAATATTTTCTTTAGTCTGTTCTGTCTACTTTCCAGTATTTCCTAAAGAACTTAAAAGAGTTTAACAGGAGTTTGTGTTTTTGTAATTATGGCAGTTTTCTAAAATATATTAGATATTAAATTATACATGAATAAAGAGAACCACACATCAAGGTATTTTATTTGCTATTTTTATGTTTTCCATGTTGTAGATTTTATAGAAATTTGAATTAGATTTATTTTATGTTATAGAATGCAGTGACTTTAATTTATACTACTAATTTTAGGAAGCGTTCAAAGCTGTGGAAGATATTCATGGGCTATTCTCCTTGTCTAAAAAACCACCTAAACCTCAATTGATGGCAAATTACTATAACAAAGTCTCAACTGTATTTTGGAAATCTGGAAATGCTCTTTTTCATGCATCTACCCTCCATCGTCTTTACCATCTTTCTAGAGAAATGAGAAAGAATCTTACACAAGATGAGATGCAAAGGTAAGAATGTTATAGTTGGATAATGTTGAAATTCTGTAACAAATACTGTCTATATGACACGGTATTATATTCTAGGCCATGGTTTTCAGCCTCTGCGCTATTGACATTTTGGGTTGGATGATTCTTAGTTGTCGGGCTGTCCTGTGTTCTGCAGGTTGTTTAGCAGCATCCCCAGCTTCTACCCATTAGATGCCAGTAACAGCCACCCCCAGTTGTGACTACCACAGATGTCTCAAGACATTGCCCTTCCTGAACAGTATTCTTGGTCTTCAGTAGTTTGACAAGTAATCCCACTAAAAGCCCAGTTGAGATATTTGAATATTACGAAAAACACATTTAATGGATGAGCTTTCTACAGGTATTTGAAGTCTATTTTTTTTTTTTTTTGAGATGGAGTTTCTCTCTTGTTGCCTAGACTGGAGTGCAATGGTGTGATCTCAGCTCACTGCAACTTCCACCTTCTGGGTTCAAGAGATTCTCCTGCCTCACCCTCCCCAAAAGCTGGCATTGCAGGCATGCCTACCCCGCCTGGCTAATTTTGTGTTTTTAGTAGAGACGGGGTTTCACCATGTTGGCCAGGCCCGTCTCGAACTTCTAACCTCAGGTGATCTGCCCACCCTGGCCTCCCAAAGTGCTGGGATTACAGGTGTGAGCCACCATGTCTGGCTGTTCTTAGAACAATAGAAAATTGAGATAAATGCTGCTGCTCCTTTTTTTTGTTGTTGAGATAGAGACTTCGCTCTTACCGCGCGGCTGGAGTGCAATGGTGTGATCTCGGCTCACTGCAACCTCTGCCTCCCTGGGTTAAAGTTTCTCCTACCTCAGCCTCCCAAATAGCTGGGATTACAGGTGTGTGCCACTATGCATAGGTAATTTTTTGTATTTTTGGTAGAGATAGGGTTTCACCATGTTTCGTCAGAGTTCGGCTGGTCTCGAACTCTGGTCCTCAGGTGATCCTCCTGCCGTGGCCTCCCAAAGTGCTGGGATTACAGGCGTGAGCCACCACGCCCAGCAAGGTAAATACTTCGATCAAGTCATTTTTTCCTTATTGTAAAATATTAACTGTAGACTATTTGGGGCATTTTTATTCTCGTATAAATCGATATGAAAAGAAGGGTCTGTAACCTAATAACCTATAGACCACTTTTTCCCTGTATTCCATGTATTCAGAGAGACGTCTCTAGCAACAAACTACAGAAATGAGCCCTGAAGGCATCTTCCATTTTATTCTTTTTAACGTTATGTATAATCTGTTTTCTGTCACTTTTAAAAAATATGTTTCTGGCCGGGCATGGTGACTCATGCCTGTAATCCCAACACTTTGGGGAGGTGGGAGATTACTTGAGGTTAGGAGTTCAAGACCAGCCTGGCCAACATGGTAAAACCCCGTCTTTACTAAAAATATAAAAATGAGCTGAATGTGGTGGTGCGCGCATGTAATTCCAGCTACTTGGGAGGCTGAAGCAGGAGAAAGGCTTGAACGAAAGGATTGAACCCAGGAGGCGCAGGTTGCAGTGAGCCAAGATTGTGCCTCTGCATTCCAGCCTGGGCGATAGAGCAACACTTCTTCCTAAAAAAAAACAAAAAACAAAAAACAAAAGCTATTGTATTTAGATAACACATATACCACCCGTTTTTTGTATTGGTAAACTGGTTATTTTGGTATTCAGTATAATTATGTACAGCAAATTGTCTTATATAAAACTATTTAGAGTAATTAATGAGAACAATTAAATGAATCCCGCTAGTATATATTGTTTTTTCCTTTCTCTCCTTTGTTCTGTTTTTCTTTCCTTTCTGATAGCGTCTTGCTCCTTGCTCAGGCTGGAGTATAGTGGTGTGATTGTAGCTCACTGTATGCATCCTTGAGCTCCTGGGCTCAGGCGATTCTAATACCTCAGTCTTCTGAGTAGTAAGGACTCCAGGAGAGCACTACTATGTCCAGCTAATGTTTATTTTTTTATTTTTTATTTTTTGTGGAGACAGGCTCTCGTTATGTTACAGGCTGGTCTCAAAGCTTCTGGTCTCAAATGATCTTCCTGCTTTAGCCTCCCAACGTGTTGGGATTGTTTTTAAATTTTTTTCAGATGGAGTTTTGCTCTTGTTGCCCAGAACAGAATGATGCCATCTCTGTTCGCTGCAACCTCTGCCTCCTGGGTTCAAGTGATTCTCCTGCTTCAGCCTCCCAAGTAGCTGGGATTACAGGCATGTGCCACCACGCCTGGCTAATTTTGTATTTTTAGTAGAGACAGGGTTTCTCCATGTTGGTCAGGCTGGTCTTGAACTCCCAATCTCAGGTGATCCATCTGCCTTCGCCTCCCAAAGTGTTGGGATTACAGGCATGAGCCACCGTGCCTGGCCACGTGTTGGGATTTATAGGATGAGCCACTGTGCCTGGCCACTAGTATATTTTCTTAGAAACTTTTGAGGATGGTGTCCATTATGGCATCCACTGTCACTTATGTAATTCACATCCTTTTTTTTTTTGAGACAGAGTTTCACTCTTGTTGCCCAAGCTGGAGCGCAATGGCATGATCTTGGCTCACTGCAACCTCCACCTCCTGGATTTAAGTGATTCTCCTGCCTTAGTCTCCTGAGTAGCTGGAAATACAGGCGTGCGCCACCACACCCAGATAATTTCTCTCCCTCTTTTTTTTTTTTTGTATTTTTAGTCAAATGGGTTTCACCATGTTAGCCAGGCTGGTCCTGAACTCCTGACTTCTGGTGATCCACCTGCTTCGGCCTCCCAAAGTGCTGAGATTACAGGCGTGAGACATCATGCCTGGCCCACATCTATTTGTTACGAGAAGAACATGTTCTTCAAGACACCTTTTAGAGAATACTGTAATAATAGTAAGCATTAGGCTGTCCAGCCCTTTGTACATTATTTGGTTTAACCTTTGCAATAGCTTAATAACTCAGAAAATTAAGTATCTTGCCTTAAGGTCACAGTCTTGGAAATGGTGAAAGGGAGATTCTAGCCCTTTGCCTCCAGAGCCCACAATCTTTGAGGTCTCGCTGTGCTCTGAATGCAGCCCGATTTCCTGTCTTTCAGGGATGTGAAAATTTAGCTTCTGGTTCCTGTCTACTTCTCTCCCTCACTACTACCATAATAGTGTTTCACTTGTGATTTTTTTTTTTTTTTTTTTTTTTTTTTTTTTTTTGAGATGAAGTTTTGCTGTTACCATGCTGGAGTGCAGTGGTGCAGTCTCGGCTCACTGCAACCCCCGACTCCTGGGTTTAAGCGATTCTCCTGCCTCAGCCTCCCAAGTAGCTGGGACTATGGGTGTGCGCCACCATGCCCAGCTAATTTTTGAGTAGAGGCGGGGTTTCACCATGTTGTCCAGGTTGGTCTTGATCTTCTGACCTGGTAATCCGCCTGCCTTGGCCTCCCAAAGTGTGGGATTACAGGCATGAGTCACCATGCCCGGCACACTTGTGATTCTTACAGTTTTTTCTCCCTTATTGTCATTTATTTCTTTAGTTTTTTTTTTTTTTTTTAATATGGAGTCTCATTCTGCTGCCCAGGATGGAGTGCAGTGCTGCAGTCTCAGTGCACTGCGCAACCTCTGCCTCCTGGGTTCAAGTGATTCTACTGCCTCAGCCTCCTGAGTTGCTGGGATTGTGGACGCCCGCCACTATGCCAACTAACTTTTCTGTTTTTAGTAAAGATGGGGTTTCACCATGTTGGCCATGCTGACAGCAGTATAGTGTTATCCCGACCTTAGGTAATCTGCCCACCTCAGCCTTCCATAGCGCTGGGATTACAGGCATGAGCCACTTCACCCAGCCATTTCCTTAGTTTTTAAAGCTGCCTTAATTTTGTAAGGAAGTATGGGGTATATGAATGTGCCTTTTCTGCCATTTAATCACAGTCTTTTTCTGTAGCTTGAAAACACTGACAGTACTGAGTGCACAGATGAAGTTCTGATTCTCCAAGTATTCATTTAAACATAGTCTGTTTCTCTTACTCCCATGCTTTGATGGGATAATATTTATAAGTATAGTGCACTGTGGCGATGCACACGTTCTGTCACTTTCCATAAGATTAAAGAGAAGTGCTTTCCTGCTTATCAAGTGTCATTTACAAACCTAACAGGTTTAAAACTTTGTTCTCTGTAGAATGTCTACTAGAGTCCTTTTAGCCACTCTTTCCATCCCTATTACTCCTGAGCGTACGGATATTGCTCGACTTCTGGATATGGATGGCATTATAGTTGAAAAACAACGTCGCCTTGCAACGCTCCTAGGTCTTCAAGCCCCACCGACACGAATTGGCCTTATTAATGATATGGTTAGTATTAATTTGCATATTTATAGCTTTGGGCAGAAAACTTTGTGGTCAGGTTTAATACCCATGATTAAATACTAGGAATTCTGATTCATTGCCAGGGGATTCTGATGTATAGACAGGGAAGCACTGGTGTCAATCACTGTTCAGTTGAGGCAGTTCGCTCCAGTGGGTGAGCTGGGCTTAAATTGTTGGGAGTTTTGACGTAGGAGGACTTGGGTTGGCTCTGAGGAATACTGTGGACCATTCAGTAAGAGAATAAGTATTGATGGGCAAGAGGGGTCATGGCTTATTTCATGGGGGCTCTAGGAAAACTAAGCCGTGTGTGGGAAATATAAAGAGGCTAGGTATATTAGTATGTTCTCGCACGGCTGTAAAGAAATACCTGAGGCCGGCTGTGGTGGCTCACGAATGTAGTCCCAGCACTTTGGGAGGCCGAAGTGAGCAGATACCTGAGGTCAGGACTTAAGAGACCAGTCAACGTGGTGAAACCCAGTCTCTACTAAAAATACAAAAATTAGCCGGGTGTGGTGGCTCACGCCTGTAATCCCAGCACTTTGGGAGGCCAAGGCAGGTGGATCACGAGGTCAAGAGATCAAGACCATCTTGGTCAACGTGGTGAAACCCCGTCTCTACTAAAAATACAAAAAATTAGCTGGGCATGGTGGCGCGTGCCTGTAATCCCAGCTACTCAGGAGGCTGAGGCAGGAGAATTGCCTGAACCCAGGAAGCGGAGGTTGCGGTTGATATTGCGCCACTGCACTCCAGCCTGGGTAACGAGAGGGAAACTCCATCTCAAAAAAAAACCAAAAAAACAAAAATTATCTGGGTGTGGTGGTGCATGCATGTAATCGCAGCTACTCAGGAGGCTGAGTCAGGAGAATCTCTTGAACCTGGGAGGCGGAGGTTGCAATGAGCTGAAATCATCCCACTGCACTCCAGCCTGGGTGACAGAATGAGACTCTGAAACAAACAATCAAACAAAAAAATACCCGAGATTGGGTAATTTATAAAGAAAACAGGTTTATTTGGCTTACGGTTCCACAGGCTGTATAGGAAGTATAGTTGCTTCTGTATCTGGCAAGGCCTCAGGAAAATTACTGTCATGGTGGAAGGCGAAGGGGAAACAGGCATGGCTTATATGGCTGGAGCAGGAGGAAGAGAGAGCGGGGGAAGGTACCACACAGTGTTTTCCTCGAAATGGAGTCTTGCTCTGTTTTCCAGGCTGGAGTGCAGTGGCACAATCTTGGCTCATTTGCAACCTCCACCTCCTGGGTTCAGGAGATTCTCCTGCCTCAGCCTCCCTGGTAGCTGGGATTACAGGCACCCACCACTATACCCAGCTAATTTTTGTATTTTAGTAGAGACAGGGTTTTACCATCTTGGCCAGGACTCGAACTTTCTCCTGAACTCGTGATCCACCTGCTTCAGCCTCCCAAACTGCTGGAATTACGGTGTGAGCCACTGTGCCCAGCCCAGATATGTGTATCTTTTCAGTGTTTCACACTGATGGAATCTTCCATTCAGTAGAAATTTGAGTGCCTATTAATGTGCCTAGCAGGTGAAACTGAAGGCAGAAGTTGTATTCTAGGGGAGTTAGATTGTAGGGATTCTCATCATAACAGTCTGAGTTGGCGATTATTGTAATCACCTCCAGTAGATTACTTTGGGATAATAGAAAAAGAGGGGTAAGTATTAGAGAAAAGTATTAAGGAAAAATCAAGTTGGCTGTATGTTTACCAAAAATGGAATTTAAATCATTAACAGACCCTAATTATTCACAAATTGAGCAATTAAAGAAATCATGAAGATAATGGCAAGCTCTCTTAGATATTTTTAAAATGTGTTCTGAGAAAACACCTGTAGTCACTCTGGTAAAAACTAGGTAAAAGGCCTAAATTTTCTGTAGTAGTCAATTTAAGAACAAATACGTTTTCTAGATAGTGGCATTGTTCTTTTGTGACACTGTAATGCAGATCTGCTTTATAGTTAATTTTTGCAAAGAGTTTCTACAGAGCAGCTTTTTCCTACTTTGTGCCTCCATGTTTTACTCTGCTGCCACTGCCCACAGAGTTCAACTTTTTGTTTATGGGACTGATGTAGGACTCAGTGTAATAAAGCAACAGCAGTTTCTTGAGAAAGATTTTATTAGCAAATGTTTTAAAAATTTGCTTCTAATTTTTTAGGCTGAAGAAATGTACCACACTGAAAGGATAATCCATGTCACCTTGCTGTTAAAGGTGATTTCTTAGACTTAGATTTAATGAACTGCCATATGTTGTCCCAGAGCGAAAGACATTTACAGTTGGCTGGAAGTAGAATTTTTAAGCCACTAAAACTCTGTGAGTGAGTCATAGTGATCACTAATGGGGAGCATTGGATCAGCAGCTAGGGCATCTAGATTAGGGTCCTCCTTGTACCCCATAGAGTGTAGACTTCTATAAGGGTACCTGTTAGTGTCAAGTGAATGGATTAGCTGACTGCCGAGAGTCATTTATCAGCTTTTTAGTTGACCATATATCCGAGGTCAATACCTGAGTGTGAGGGTGCCATAACTGAAATTTGTGAGACAGTGTGATTCCATTATCTCAGGAAGACTCAGGTGTTCGTAAGAGTGACTTTTAAATCAGAAAGCAAGCCAATTGTGTATTTTAGTGAGAAATGTAATTCAGTAGGTTATGGCAGCCTTTTACATTTGGAGGCGAGCTGCATGAAGAATCTAAAATAATTTCATAGAAATGAAATTAGAGCAGGGAACTTTTTTTTTTCTTAAAGACAGATTTCAAGTTAGTTAGGGAATTAAAGATAAATGGATGCTTATAAGGGCGAAGTATTAGACTGTTGTAGGTTGTCAGTCTTGTACCCATTTTACATTGGAGTGAATCTTAGACCAAGTGCTGGTGTGTTTGGGGGCACCCTCCTTGCTTGGGGATGGGATCTGCCAACATTTGCCTCAGTTTTGTCACCCACTCTCTGTGGGAACACGCTCCTGGCCTTTGCTGTGTCCCAGCAGTTATTCTGTCCTTGGGTTAACAGTTCCCAACAAATGACATATTTCTTGGTAAAATTGAAGTCCATATAAATGGGGTGATATGTGAAATTCTTTTTCTTACATGTAAGTTTATGTTTGTGAGATTGATTCATGTGTTCTATATAACTTTTGTTTTTTTGAGCATTTTTATTTATTTTATGAACACACCACCCTCCTCTTTATAAGTAAGTGAATTCTTCCCAGTTTGGGGCTATTAGAAATAGTGCAGCCATGATAATTTTTGTGTGACAATTTATATAAAAGTAAAACTCTGTGAATCTAAAGCCTGAGCTGAAAGTGAAAAAAACAAAAAAACAAAAAAACTAAAACTCTGGTATTTTCCTTGTTATTGGTAATAAGCTATTCTGTTGCCCACAGTTTAATTGGTTGTGGTTGTGTGTTTTAGAGTTTCATTTCCTTTTTACATACTTCTCACTGTAGGTTAGTGTCATAGTGTGGGGCAAGAGACCTAGCAGAGTTGTACTTGGATTCATCTTTGGTAAATTTAGAGGAGGTTGAGGCTTGGTGATTTTTTAAAATCATTTTTCAGATTTCTAGTGCTATCATTTTCTTTAATTCATAGTCAGATCAGAATCTTAGTTGGAAAATTTCCTTTGGCAGTTACAGCTTTTGCTCTGCTTACTCTAGGTCAGATTTAATGTACTGCAATATGTTGTCCCAGAAGTGAAAGACCTTTACAATTGGCTTGAAGTGGAATTTAACCCACTAAAACTCTGTGAGCGAGTCACAAAGGTAAGCCTTTGGATTTAAGTTCTTTCTGATTGTTACCATGGAGTTGGCCTTATTGCAATTTTGGGTTGTACTGATATTTGTTAAGAAAGAAGTATTGTCTTATGTGTTAGAGTTCAGCGCACATTTCATTGTCTTTTTTCTTTTATTTCAAAAGAAAAGGTATTTCCAATGTACTAAACAAACCTTTGGAGGTTAATTAGCAGTATGACTAATTTAGTCATTGCTGTCAGTCACCTTCAAACAAGTATCAGTAGCTTCATGATACCTTTTGTATTTCTCTGCATTGGATGATGTTTTTGTATCTTAAAAAAAACTGAAAGAATTTCAGATGTTTTGGATCTGTTAATTGTAGAAAGTATGATTCTCTTTCAATTTAATGGCTTTTATAGGTTCTAAATTGGGTTAGGGAACAACCTGAAAAGGAACCGGAATTGCAACAGTATGTGCCGCAACTGCAGAGCAACACCATCCTCCGCCTTCTGCAGCAGGTACAAATTAAAAAAGGTTTTGTGGAAGAATTGGAGTTTCCTTGTTTGTGTGTACTGATCATGAAACGAAAAACTGGAAAAATCTAGAACTGTTTAGGAAGTGAGAACCTCCCCAGGTTCTACCCTTGACAACAGTTAGTCTCATACTACTTACTAACTTGAAAAACAGGATAATTGTATTTACACATTTTGTAACTGACTTTTTTTTTTTTTGGATGAACATTGTTTTGGGCATCTTTCCTTGTTGGTAATGTAGGACTACCTTATTCCTTTTAAGATAATGTGGTTTATTTATTCTGACTCTCTTGATGAAAACCTGTATTACTAGATTCTTTTTTCTTGTTAAAAATCTTGTAGCATTGAGCATCTTTCATACATGTATCTTTACATACTTCTGTTACTTTCTGTGGCATAAGAAGTGGAATTAGTTGTAGGGGTTATGCATTTAAAGCTTTAATAGCTGTTCAGAACCCTGGATTAATAGATCCTCCCACCATGAGTGAATGAGAGAGCCTTTTCATGTATTTTAGTCCAGGGGCTTGAGTAAGTTTTAATGTTTTGGCTTATAATGGGGGCTTAAGTGTTCCCATTTTGTTTTTCATTTGGGAAGGAAGGCCTTTTATTATATTTTTACCTCAGTGTTTGTGCACATTTCATTGACCTGCTTTCTTTTGTACATGTGAGCAGTGTTATTTCTTCTGTGCTATACAAATAGTTGAAGGCTAATTAGCAGTATTAACTATAAATAGTAATGCTGCCAGTCTCCTTCAGACAAAAATTATTTTAAGAAGTGTTTATAAATATATTCGGTAAGTAGTAGATTTTTAGTTTTTTTTTTTTTTTTAATATAATGAAAACTAGGATTTGAAAGGATTATAGGTTTGAGGAGTAGTATGATAATAGTTCTCAAAGCATGAGGTTTGGAGTTGATAGTCTGGGGATTAGAATTCTGGCTTTAACAATGTACTGCTAACATAATTCACTGGCGTAAGTTCTACTTCCCATGACTGTCATGAGATTGCACATAAAAGGTGCTGAATAAATAGTGGTTAGTGTTATTAACGCTATGTTTTCTATGCAGGTGGCACAGATTTATCAGAGCATTGAGTTTTCTCGTTTGACTTCTCTGGTTCCTTTTGTTGATGCTTTCCAACTGGAACGGGCCATAGTAGATGCAGCCAGGCATTGCGACTTGCAGGTAGGTATGTTCTGTAAGGGGACAGGTAGAAGGCCCTTAAGGGCTAGAAAGACACGTATCCTTTGTTTCTCATTTTAAAGTTTACTGAGTGAACTTTTCTAGCTTTTGTATGTGACTTTTTTTGTTGTTTTTTTTTGACTGCATGCTTACATATGGATTTAACCATTTATAATTTAATTTTCAAAGGTTCGTATTGATCACACTTCTCGGACTCTGAGTTTTGGATCTGATTTGAATTATGCTACTCGAGAAGATGCTCCGATTGGTCCTCATTTGCAAAGCATGCCTTCAGAGCAGATAAGAAACCAGCTGACAGCCATGTCCTCAGTACTTGCAAAAGCACTTGAAGTCATTAAGCCAGCTCATATACTGGTATGCATCTTCTAGGGGAAATAAATCTCAGAAGTTTTGAGAGAGTCTTATGCCATGTCTTTCACAAAAAGGTTTGAGATGATATCTAAGAGAAGGGATTTATGATATATTTTCTATAGATTGTACTTGGTAGAATTCTGTAGAAGTAGAATTCTATAGAATTGTTACTTTATCAAATACACAAACCATTGAGCTTTCTTCCACTAAACAAAATAATATTACTCTGTATAGGTAATGTAATAGTGTGGATTATGTTACAGAAGCAACCAGAGTGGACATATGATTCCTCAAAGAGTGAGGTACAATGACCAGATTTTTCCCTCCTGCTTCTTTCTTTCTTTCCTTCTGTATTTATTTATTTATTTGTTTGAGATGGAGTCTCTTGTCACCTAGTTTGGAGTGTAGTGGCACCATCTTGTCTCGCTACAGTCTCTACCTCTTGGGTTCAAGTGATTCTTGTGCCTCAGTCTCTTCTGTAGCTGGGACTACAGGCATGCACCGTATGCCCTGCTAATGTTTTATATTTTTGGTAGAGATGGGATTTTACCATGTTGGCCAGGCTGGTCTGAAACTCCTGGCCTCAAATGATTCAACCCACCTTGGCCTCCTGAAGTGCTGGGGTTACAGGCGTGAGCCACTGCCTGTAACAAGTTATTTCTTCTTTGTGAGCTCTGTTAATGAACACCTAAGGTAAGTTTGGTGCAGAGAAAAGTTGTCTTAGCTAGGAGAGCTTCTTTAGCCGCATCATTGCTATTTAAAGACTGAATAGGAGCAACACGATAGCATTTGATACTGAAAACAAATGTTTATCTTGGATAGTGTCATCTTCCCAATATCAAATGCAGATACATAGAAAGGCAGTGCATCAGGATTATTTTGTAATTTCTTTGATGCCTACTACCAGAGAATATTAATTTTGTTCATTTTTCAAAATTCATTTGTTTTCGAAGCAAGAAAAAGAAGAACAGCATCAGTTGGCGGTTACTGCATACCTAAAAAATTCACGAAAAGAGCACCAGCGGATCCTGGCTCGTCGCCAGACAATTGAGGAAAGAAAAGAGCGCCTTGAGAGTTTGAATATTCAGCGTGAGAAAGAAGAATTGGAACAGAGGGAAGCTGAACTCCAGAAAGTACGAAAGGCTGAGGAAGAGAGGCTGCGCCAGGAAGCCAAGGAGAGAGAAAAGGAGCGTATCTTGCAGGAACATGAACAAATCAAAAAGAAAACTGTCCGAGAGCGTTTGGAGCAGATCAAGAAAACGGAACTGGGTGCCAAAGCATTCAAAGATATTGACATTGAAGTGTGTAGCATTTTAGTCGTTAAAAAACTTAGTTTTATCCAGGTCTTTTATACGCTTAGAACCATAGTCCTTTGCCATTTGTTGGCTTATTTTGAGTTATTTTATGCATTTTGGTACAGCTGGTCATGACTAAATCTGTGAATAAGCATATGTTTAATCGCTCTGTGCAATTTGTTTTTTTTTTTGAGACAGAGTCTCACTTTTATTTCCCAGACTGGAGTGCAGTGATGTGATTTTGGCTCACTGCAACCTCTGCCTTCCGGGTTCAAGCGATTCTCCTGCTTCAGCCTCCCGAGTAGCTGGGATTACCGGTGCCCGCCACCACGTGCAGCTAATTTTTGTATTTTTAGTATACGTGGGGTTTCACCATGTTGGCCAGGCTGGTCTCAAACTCCCAACCTTAGGTGATTCACCTGCCTCAGCCTCCCAAAGTGCTGGGATTACAGGCTGAGTCACCGTGCCTGGCCTGCTCTGTGCAGTTTTAACCGCTATATATTAATCACAGGACAGGTTATGTATCCCTTACCCAAAATGCTAGGGAGCAGATATGTTTCAGATTTTGGATTTCTTTGGATTTTGGAATATTTCCATATACATATAAAGAGATATTTTGGGGTTTGGACCAGAGGCTAAACACGAAATTCATTTGTTTCATAAGACACTTTTTTTTTTTTTTTTTTTTTTTAAAGACAGTCTCACTCTGTTGCCCAGGTTGGAGTGCAGTGGTATATTGGCTCACTGCAACCTCCGCCTCCTGAGTTCAAGTGATTCTCTTGCCTCAGCCCAAGTAGCCAGGATTACAGGCTTGTGCCACCACGCCTGGCGGCTAGTTTTTGTATTTTTGTAGAGATGGTGGTGTCACCATGTTGGCCAGGCTGGTCTTGAACTCCTGACCTCAAGTGATCAACCTGCACTTGCCTCCCAAAGTGCTGGAATTACAGGTGCAAACTACCATGACTGGTCTGTTTCATAGACATGTTATACACATGGCCTGAAGGTAACTTTATACAGTATTTTACACAATTTTGTGCATGAAACAGTTCTGAATGCATTTTGACTGACCTGTCACATGTGTTAGGTGTGGAATTTTACATTTGTGGCACCATGTTGGTGCTCACCAAGTTTTAAAATTTGGAGCATTTCAGATGAGTTTTTGGATTAGGTTTGCTCACCCTATAGTAGAGTATGGGGAGATGTAAATTAGAAGAGTGAGAAAAAGATGTGTGGATTTTTTTTCCTTACGGTCAAATGGAAATAAGGCTATTTTATGATACTTTTACATTTCCTAAATTATCACCCATTGTAACAATAAAAGGAATTTAGGATTTTATTCTAGAAAACAGTGAATTATGTTAGGCATTGCTTGTTTATCCTTATTAACAATTGTGCATTCGTATTACCTTTCAGGACCTTGAAGAATTGGATCCAGATTTCATCATGGCTAAACAGGTTGAACAACTGGAGAAAGAAAAGAAAGAACTCCAAGAACGCCTGAAGAATCAAGAAAAGAAGGTAAATGAAAGATGGGTAAACCCTTAACATACCAAGTTAAAAGAGATTTGTAGAAACGACGTTTGTTTTCATGTCATTTAGATTGACTATTTTGAAAGAGCCAAACGTTTGGAAGAAATTCCTTTGATAAAGAGTGCTTACGAGGAACAGAGAATTAAAGACATGGATCTGTGGGAACAACAAGAAGAAGAAAGAGTAAGTTTTTAATTTAATTGTAATATTTTTAGATTATAATTAAATCCTCTGCCAGTAATGGAACCAAGGATTCAGAATTGCTTTCAGAATCTGTTAGAAATGGTGCTCTAATGGTTGCCTATTAACAGATTACGGGATTATGGGTGTGAGCCACCGTGCCTCCCCCAACCCCCTTCCCCATATTATTATAATTTTTATTTTTATTTTTTCTTTTACAAATTGAAAGATGGAAAATTTCACGATTTAGGTTACAAATGAGTCTTGTAAAACAAAGGATAACTGAAAAGCTCATTTTACAAAAAACTGGTTTATATACACTTTATTTATTTAGAGATGGAGTCTTTTTCTGTCACCAGGCTGGAGTACAGTGGCGCGATCTCGGCTCACTGTAGCCTCTGCGTCCTGAGTTCAAGCGAGTCTCCTGCCTCAGCCTCCAGGTAACTGGGACTACAGGCGCCTGCCACCAGTCCAGCTAATTTTTGTATTTTTAGTAGAGACAGGGTTTCACCGTATTGGCCAGGCTGATCTGGAACTCCTGACTTTGTGCTCCCAGCCTCAGCCTCCCAAAGTGCTGGGATTACAGGCGTGAGCCACCGTGCCCGGCCCACAGTCTAATTTTAAAACATATATCAAAAAGAAGTTCTAAACCCATTAGCAGTAGTCATCTTTGTTCTTCCTCACCAACCCTGCCTTAGGCAACCACCAAACTGCTACTGTCTGTAGATTTGCTGATTCTGGACATTTCATATAAATGGAATTGTGTACTGTGTGGTCTTTTGTAACTAAATAGGTCATTCTGTAGTTTTGTTAGTTTATAGTATGTATTACATTTACCTGATGATACAAAAACAGGGTTTTACAAATGCTTATGGCAGCAAATATGTAATAAAAGTGAGTGAACAGACCTGGTTTAACAAAGTAACCGTAGGTGGTAGACAAACATTAGTGTAGAGTGTGATAGGAGAATGCAGCCTTTTCTTGGTTTCATCTGGTGGTTGTCACCTGGAGATTAATGGGCCTAGGATTGCCAGCTCTTCACATTTTTTTTTTCAGGAAAAGTTGGAATTTTTGTGATAATTCTCTTAACATGTAAATATTAAAAATTAATTAGAAAAGTGCCGCACACGAAATTGGGTTGATTTTGAGCTTTCTGTTTTTTCACGTAGGGCAGAAAGGAAATAGCCTTATATTATCCTGCATTAAATCCTGGTGTTTTTAAGGATGAAAATGCCTTTAAAAATTAAACCATGGCATTTGTTATTACTGTGTCACATTATTTTATTTTACTATATATAGGTACACCTCGTTTCATTATGCTTTACTTTATTGTGCTTTTGTGTTACCCAGGCTGGTCTCAACTATTGCGCTCAAGCTATCCTCTCAGCTCGGCCTCCCAAAGTTCTGGGATTACGGGTGTGAGCCACCATGCCTCCCCCAACCCCCTTTCCCATATTATTATAATTTTTATTTTTATTTTTTCTTGTACAAATTGAAAGCTTATGGTAACCTTGCATTGAATAAGTCTGTTGATACCATTTTTCAACAGCATGTGCTCATTTCCTGTCTCTCTCACATTTTGGTAATTCTCAAAGTATTTCATAGTTTTTCATTATTATATCTGTTATAGTGATGAGTGATATTTGATGTTACTGTTGTTATTATTTTGGAGTGCCACAAACCACACTCATATAATCCACTCGTATATAGATTATGAGCTTAATTCATAAATGTTGTGTCTGTTCTGACTGTTACCGACTGGCCATTCCCTGACTCTCTGCCTCTCCCTGTCCTTGAACCTTCCTATTACTCCCTGAGAGAGAGAGAGAGAGTGCGAGTAAGCGACACATACACACACAAACACACATTTTGGGAGACAGTTTCACCCAGGCTATAGTGCTGTGGCACCCCAAGTAGCTGGGATTACAGGTGCCTACTACCATGCCTGGCTAACTTTTGTGTTTTTAGTGGAGACTGGGTTTTTAGTTCACCTAGCCCAGTTGGCTGGATTGGTCTTGAACGCCTGACCTCAAGTGTTCCACTGGCCTGAGCCTCCCAAAGTGCTGGGATTATAGAATTGAGCCACCTCGCCCACCCTCTGAGACATAATACTGAAATTAGGCTAATTAACAGTCCCACAGTGGCTCCTAAGTGTTGGAGTGAATGGAAGAGTCATCTGTCTCTCACTTTAAATCAAATGCTGGAAGTGATTAAGCTTAGTGAGGAGGGTATGTTGCAAGCTAGGCCTCTTTGACGAATCGTGTTGTGAATGCAAAGGAAAAGTTTGTGAAATTAAAAATGCTACACCAGTGAACACATAAGCAGTAAGAAAGGGAAACAGCCTTATATATATGGAAAAAGTTTCATTGGTCTGGACAGATGATCAAACCAACCACAGCATTCCATTCAGCCAAAGCCTGATCCAGAGCAAGGCTCTAATTCTCTAATGAGTTAATACTATGAAGTCTCAGGGAGCTTAGAAAACTGCAGAAGACCAATCCTGGTGGCTCATGTCTGTAATCCCAGCACTTTGGGAGGCTGAGGTCACTTGACGTCAGGAGTTCAAGACCAGCCTGGCCAACATGGGGAGACCCTGTCTCTACTAAAAATACAAAAATTAGCTGGGCATGCTGGTGGACATCTTTATTCCCAGGTACTCAGGAGGCTGAGGCAGGAGAATTGCATGAACATGGGAGCCGGAGGTTGCAGTGAGCTGAGATCGTGCCACTGAACTCCAGTCTGGCGACAGAGTGAGACTCCGTCTCAAAAAAAAAAAGAAGCTGCAGAAGAAAAGTTTGAAGCTAGCAGAGGTTGGTTCATAAGGTTTAAGGAAAACTGTCTATAACACGAAAGTACAATGTGAAGCAGCAAGTGCTGTTGTAGAAGCTACAGCAAGTTATCCGAAGATTTGGCTGAGATAATTAAAAGAAAGTGGCTACACTAAACAACGGATTTTCTTTCTTCTTTTTTGAGAGACAGGGTCTTGCTCTGTCATCCAGGCTGGAGCGCAGTGGCGCCATCTCAGTTCCCTACAACCTCCGCCCCCTGGGCTTAAGTGCTCTTCCCACTTTAGCCTCCTTAGTAGCTGGGATCACTGGTGTGCACCACCATGCCTGGCAATTTTTTAAATATTTTTAGTGGAGACAAGATCTCCCCAGTGGCGGCTCAAACTCCTGAGGTCAAGCAGTTCACCTGCCTCAGCCTCCCAAAGTGCTGGGATTACAGGCATGAGCCATTGTGCCCAGCCAGTAGATTTGCAGTGTAGATGAAACAACCTTCTATTGGAAGAAGATGCCAACTAGATCTTTCATAGCTAGAGAGAAGTCACTGACTTCAAAGTGTTGAAGGGTATACTCACCGTTTTTAGGGGTTAATGCAGCTGCTGACTGGAAGTTGAAGCCAATTCTTGTCATTGCAAAAATCCTAGGGTCCTTAAGAATGATGCTACAGAGTCTACCTTTTCTGTGGTCTATACATGGAGGAACAAAGCCTGAATGATAGCATATCTGTTTATAGCATGGTTTGCTGAATATTTTAAGCCCCCTGTTGAGACCTGTTTAAAAAAAAAAAAGGCCTTTCAGAATATTACTGCTCATTAACAATGCATCTGATCATATGACAGTTCTGATGGGGATGTATAAGAGAGATTAGCCAGGTGCAGTGGCTCACATCTGTAATCCCCAGCACTTTGGGAGGCGGAGGTGGGTGGATCACGAGGTCAGGAGTTCAAGACCAGCCTGACCAACGTGGTGAAATCCCATCTCTACTAAAAATACAAAAAGTAGCCTGGTGTGGTGGCAGGCACCTGGAATTCCAGCTACTTGGGAGGCTGAGGCTGGAGAACTGCTTGAACCCAGGAGGTGGAGGTTGCAGTGAGCTGAGATTATGCCACCACCCTCCAGCCTGGGCCACAGAATGAGATTCCCTCTGAAAGGAAAAAAAAGATTGATGTTTGTTTTCATGGCTGTTAATACCAGTATGCATTCTGAAGCCTGTAGATCAAGGAGTAATTTTGTCTTTCAAGTCTTATCATTTAAGAAATAAATTTCATAAGGCTGTAGCTGCCATAGTGATTCCTCTGATGGATTTGGACAAAGTGCATTGAAAACATACTATAAGGAATTCTTCATTCCAGATGCCACTAAGAGCATTTGTGATTCACGGGAGGAGGTCAAAATACCAACATTAATAATAATTTGGAATAAGTTGATTCCAAGCCTCATGGACAACTTGGGAGGGGTTCATGAGTAGAGTGGAGAAAATAATTTTAGATGTGATGAAAACAGCAAGAGAGCTAGAAAGATATAGGCTGGATGCAGTAGCTCACTCCTCTAATCCTCTTATCCCTGAGGCAGGCAAATTGCTTGAGTCCAGGAGTTTGAGATCAACCTGGGCAACATAGCGAAACCTTCTGTCTCTACCAAAAAAAGAAAAATTAGCCAGGAGTGGTAGAATGTGGCTGCTTTTCTAGCTACTGGGGAGGCTGAGGTAGAAGGATGTGGAGTTTGCAGTGAGCTGAAATAGTGCCACTACACTCCAGTGCCTGGGTGACAGAGACAGACCCTGTCTCAAAACAAAAACAAAAACTAAAACTAAAAAACAAAACACGAAACAATGTCTAGGCACAGTGGCACACGCCTGTAATCCCAGCACTTTGGGAGGCTGTGGTGGGCAGATCACAAGGTCAAGAGATCGATACCATCCTGGCCAACATGGTGAAATCCCGTCTCTACTAAAAATACAATAAAAACTAGCTGGTTGTGGTGGTGGGCCTGTAGTCCCAGCTGCTTGGGAGGCAGAGGCAGAAGAATGGCTTGAATCCAGGAGGTGGAGGTTGCAATGAGCTGAGAGAGGGCTATTGCACTCTGGCCTGGTGACAAAGTGAGACTCTGTCTCAAAACAAAAAACCACTATAACCTGAAGATGCCATCTCATGATAAAACTTGAATGGGTGAGGAGTTGCTTCTTATGGATGAGCAAAGTGAGTGGTTTCTTGAAATGAAATCTCCTGGTGAAGTTGCTATGAACATTGTTGACATGACAACAAAGGATTTAGAATATCCATTAAGTATAGTTGATAAAGCAGGAGCAGATTTTGAGAGGATTGAATCAAATTGAAATTCTTTTTTTTTTTTTGAGACAGTCTTATTCTGTCGCCAGGCGCCAGGCTGAAGTGCAGTGGCGTGATTTCAGCTCACTGCAACCTCCGCCTCCCGGGTTCAAGCAATTCTCCTGCCTCAGCCTCCTGAGTAGCTGGGACTACAGGCACATACCACCACGCCCAGCTAATTTTTGTATTTTTAATAGAGATGGGGTTTCACGATGTTGGCCAGGATGGTCTCAATCTTTTGACCTCTTGATCTGCACGCCTTGGCCTCCCAAAGTGCTGGGATTAGAGGTGTGAGCCACTGTGCCTGGCCTGAAATTCTACTTGTAAGTAAACTGTCAGCCAATGCCACATGCTAGATAAATCTTTTGTAAGAGGATGCAATCAGTGTGGCACACTTCATTGTAATCTATTTTAACAAATCACTGTAATCACCCCATCCTTTAGTACTTGCCACTCTGATCAGTCAGCAGCTGTCAACGTTGAGGCAAGACCTTCCACTAGCAAAAAGATTATGATTCATTGAAGGCTCAGGTGATCTTTAGCATTTTTTAAGCAAGAAGGTGGTTTTTGTTTTGTTACCTTTGAGAACAGGAGCCTCACTGTGTTGTTCAGGCTGATCTTGCACCCCTAGGCTCAAGTGATTCTCTTGCCTCAGTGTACTACTGCACCCGACTTATAAAATTAAGGTTTGTGCATTGCTGTTTTAGACATACTGTTGTATACTTAATAGAACGCAAATTTTTATATGCATTGGATAACCAAAAAAATCTGTGTTACTTGCTTTATTGCAATATTTTCTTTATCGTGATAGTCTAGAACCAAACCTGCAGTGCCTCCAAGGTATGCTGGTACATCATAGTTTTTCCTTTATAAAGTTCCTGGTGCCGAGGACTAAATAAATACTGTCTCTTCTAAATGACTCAGGATTACTCTTGCTCCTAATTGCCTTTTGGGGACCTGTTAGTTACGCTTTGGTTTTTATGGCATGATGGAAGGGACAATGGAGCAACTTCTAATTTTTCAGGAGTATTTGTCAGTAATTTGGGGTAAATGAGTTTTAAAAAATGATACTTTGAAATTTCACTGTATTTTGTACTTGCAGATTACTACAATGCAGCTAGAACGTGAAAAGGCTCTTGAACATAAGAATCGAATGTCACGAATGCTTGAAGACAGAGATTTGTTCGTAATGCGACTCAAAGCTGCACGGCAGTCTGTTTATGAGGTGAGCTTGCTGATTTTTTTGGGAAATGTTTATTCTTGAGCTTTCTAGTATTGCCTTAAGGGTTCTCCCTTAACAAATTTGTATATTGTCTTGACTTACTATGTATAATGGTCATTCAAGTAATAGGAATGTTTGGGTAGTATTTCCTGAGCCAAACAATCACCTGAAGGAAGTTTTCTAAAGGTGCAAGTTGAATACAGGTTTTTGTTAGAAATGAAAAAACTAGATCAAAATGTCCTGGGCTTAGGTTCTAATTTGATCATTGAATTTGTTTTGTGTAAAGACAAACCCACTGGGTGTCAGTAATATCAACAATTTAAATTTTTAAAAATTTGGCCTGCTGACAAGTTAATGGTCTTTGGGAATTTAGAGTTTTTGTGCTGAGAGGCTGCTTTCAATGATTTCAATACATTTGAGAGTCTTTTGTAAATGTAATAGCTTTCTGCCTGTTGATTGCTCTTGACGAAATCTGACCTTTTTGGGTTGGGGGTAACTTTGATTGCAGGAAAAACTTAAACAGTTTGAAGAGCGGTTAGCAGAAGAAAGGCATAATCGATTGGAAGAACGGAAAAGGCAACGGAAAGAAGAACGCAGAATCACTTACTATAGAGAAAAAGAAGAGGAGGAGCAGAGAAGGGCAGAAGAGCAAATGCTGAAAGGTATGTAGGTAGAACGGGATTGGAAGGGAACCTGCGCAAAGTTGGTGTTAGATCTAGTTTTTAGTGATCTTATGTAGAAAATACAGGAATCAAGGTAATTGGCCTGTTAGCACTATTGCTAACAGGAATCAAGGTAATTGGCCGGTTCTCAGAACCCAGTTTGCTATATGTGAAGCTGTTACAACTTGTACCAGCATTTCCCCACACATTTGATGTTCTTTTAAAAATTAATCCTTTTTGTTTTTTTTATCACTATATTCTGTGTATTAACTAACATTTATTGAGGAATACATTCCAGATGATGGTTGTCAAATGATGCTGTATCTGCAATCTCAGATTGCTCAGGAATGGGGGAATGATTCTGTAGTATCTTATTACAAAACTATAGGTGAAGGCTGTAGTACTAGTTTGTTGACTATATTCTGTCATGTAGCTGATCGCAAACTATTTTCAAATTCTTTTACTTGTACATTATGTTACCTGTTTAGTACCAGGAAAGTAGAACTAGCAGTAGGGGAAGGTGTGGCTGGGAGGCACACTTAGTAACCTACTCGGTGGTCTAGAGCGTGAAGAGAGAGAGCGCGCTGAACGAGCGAAACGCGAGGAAGAGCTACGAGAGTATCAGGAGCGGGTGAAGAAATTAGAAGAAGTGGAAAGGAAAAAACGCCAAAGGGAGTTGGAAATTGAAGAACGAGAACGTCGTAGAGAGGAAGAGAGAAGACTTGGCGATAGTTCACTTTCTAGAAAGGTGAGTATAGGATTTATTGATTTTATTTTGTTTTAATGTGTGTGTGTGTCTTGTTTTAATGTGGTGTGTGTGTGTGTGTGTGTGTGTTTTGAGATAACAGTCTCACTCTGTCACCCTGTTTGCCCAGGCTGGAGTGCAGTGGTGCGATCTCAGCCCCTGGCTTCAAGTGATTCTTTTTTTTTTTTTGAGATGGAGTTTCGCTCTTGTTACCCAGGCTGGAGTGTAATGGCGTGATCTCGGCTCAACGCAACCTCCGTCTCCTGGGTTCAAGCAATTCTCCTGCCTCAGCCTCCCAGGTAGCTGGGACTACAGACGTGCGCCACCATGCCCAGCTAATTTTTGTATTTTTAGTAGAGATGCGGTTTCACCACGTTGACCAGGATGGTCTTGATCTCTTGACCTCGTGATCCACCTGCCTCGGCCTCCCAAAGTGCTGGGATTATAGGCATGAGCCACCACGCCCGGCCCTAAGTGATTCTTGAATGTGTCTCAGCCTCCTGAGCAGCTGAGATTACGTGCCCAGCTGCTTTTTGTAATTGTGATGTATTTTTTTTCTTTTTTTTAATTTTTTTTTTTTCAAGACGGGGTTTCACCATGTTGGTAAGGCTGGTCTGGAACTCCTTACCTCAGGTGATCTGCCCGCCTTGGCCTCCAAAGTGCTTGGATTACAGGTGTGAGCCACTATGCCCGGCCAATTGTGATGTGTTTTTATTAGTCAGCTCTCTTGCAGGCTACCTATGTAAATATATTTAAATCAGTCATTTTCACATCTTTTTTTTTCTGAGATGAAGTCTTGTTTCATTGCCCAGACTGGAGTGCAGTGGTGTGATTTCAGTCTTAGCTCCCTGCAACCTCTGCCTGCCGAGTTCAAGCCATTTGCCTTCCTCAGCCTCCTGAGTAGCTGGGATTACAGGCACCCACCACCATGCCTGGCTAGTTTTTGTATTTTTAGTAGAGATGAGGTTTCACCATGTTGGCCAGGTTGGTCTTGAACTGTATTCTCTGCCTCCTGGCTTCAAACAATTCTCCTGCCTCAGCATCTGGAATAGCTGGGATTACAGGCAGCCACCACCAAGCCCAGCTAATGTTTGTATTTTTAGTAGAGACGGGGTTTCACCATGTTGGCCAGATTGGTCCTGACCTCAGGTGGTCTGCCCACTTTGACCTCCCAAAGGGCTGGGATTACAGGCGTGGGTGAGCCACAGCGCCTGGCCAAAGTATGCAACTTAACGGGATTCCTAGGTGATTCAAACTGAGCTCTAAATAATGATTTTTAATTGTACTCAGGTCCAAAATCAACCTGTGTTTCCTTCTTTGACTTGTGCCTTTGGAATTCCCTCTCCTGATTCACCAGTCAGGTGAATGGTACCTACTTAGTCACAGCTTTGAACCTACTCCTCCTCTTTTATTTTCCTATGTTACTACCTTAATTCAAATTTTTCTTGCCTGCAATACTTGTTGACCTACTTACTAGTCTAACTCATCATTTTCCTCCAGCTTCAGACCTTCCTCTACATTGTGGCCTGCTTGATTATTTATTTATTTATTTATTTTTAAAATAATACAGCATGTTTGATCACTATGCCTGCTATTTGGGTTTCAGAACTTTCATTAGTTGGTATTCATGACTGAGAACCAACATAAAAAACTGCTAAGGTAGTCCCTTTGGACTCCCTTTGGAGTTTTTTATGTTACTGTGGTTTTCATCAGCCTGGCCAGCTTTGTAGATACTTACTTTAATCTTCCCACCCTATCGTCAGATATCTTTTTTTTTTTTGAGACGGAGTTTCGCTCTTGTTACCCAGGCTGGAGTGCAATGGCGCGTGATCTTGGCTCACTGCAACCTCTGCCTCCTGGGTTCAAGCAATTCTCCTGCCTCAGCCTCCTGAGTAGTTGGGACTACAGGCGTGCGCCACCATGCCCAGCTAATTTTTGTATTTTTAGTAGAGACAGGGTTTCACCATGTTGACCAGGATGGTCTCGATCTCTTGACCTCGTGATCCACCCGCCTCAGCCTCCCAAAGTGCTGGGATTATAGGTGTGACCCACCACACCCGGCCTATCGTCAGATCTCTTAATATATCTTCCAGAGTTCTCACTTGTCTGATTATGGCTTTTGGTTACATTTGTAAGACTAGTCACCCTGTATCAGAGGATGTCTATGATTACATCATATGAGCATTGCACCCTGGAAAGGGTGTACCAGGTTTACTTTTCACAGTTTTTAATATCATCAAAATACTTGGAATAGAGAAGTGGTGTCAATTTAACCACTCCCATTAGACATTAAGTAAATTCTCTCCACCTTTCTTTGAAACGGCACTGTGATGTCCATTTCAGGGCACTTGACTTTCCTTACGTCTGTGGAGGTGTGTATTCCCAGGTTGCTTTCTGGTAGTGTTAAATCGGTTTGTAAGGCTACTCACTATATGAGACTGCCAGTTTCACTGTAGTGTCAGTCTGATCTCAGATTAAAAAATAAATAAGCCGGCATTGGGGCTTAGGCCTGTAATCCCTGCACTTTGGGAAGCCAAGGCAGGCAGATCACCTGACGTAAGGAGTTCGAGACCAGCCTGACTAACATGGTGAAACTCCACAAAAATTAGCTCGGCGTGGTGCCATGTGCCTGTAATCCCAGCTACTCAGGAGGCTGAGGCAGGAAAATTGCTTGAACCTGGGAGGCCGAGATTGCAGTGAGCCAAGAGCGTGCCATTGCACTCCAGCCTGTGCGACAGGGCGAGACTCTGTTTCAATAAATAAGTAAATAAACAAATAAATAAAAATTTAAAGCTTGCCTATGGGCTGGGCGCGTTGGCTCAAGCCTGTAATCCCAGCACTTTGGGAGGCTGAGGCAGGCGGATCACAAGGTCAAGAGATTGAGACCATTCTGGCTAACATGGTGAAACCCCCTCTCTGCTAAAAATACAAAAAATTAGCTGAGTGTGGTGGCATGCCCCTGTGGTCCCAGCTACCTGGGAGGCTGAGGCAGAAGAATTGCTTGAACCCGGGAGGTGGAGGTTGCAGTGAGCTAAGATCACACCACTGCACTCCAGCCTGGTGCCTGGCGACAGAGCGAGACTCTCTCTCAAAAAAAAAAAAAATTGCTTATTTAAGGTCTTCATATTATTTAATATGAGTATAAAAAATATTTGAATGGTAATATCAGTAGTTGTAATAGTAAACTGTTACCAATGTAATGCCTCTTTTTCACTTTGTCAATGAAGGACTCTCGCTGGGGAGATAGAGATTCAGAAGGCACCTGGAGAAAAGGACCTGAAGCAGATTCTGAATGGAGAAGAGGCCCACCAGAGAAGTAAGTAGAGTTGAGGAAAATAGTGCTGCTCTAGTTCCTGTTAATATCTTATTCATTTTAAAATTTGGTTAATTTTTGTGGGGCAGGGGATTGGAGGGGGAAGGAAAGCCATGAAGAATTGTGTGCATGTCTGATTTTGTGTGGGTTCCGTTTTTTTTTTTTTCTGGGTCTGCCACCCAGGCTGGGGTGCAATGGCATGATCTGTGCTTACTGCAACCTCTGCCTCCTGGGTTCAAGTGATTCTTGTGCCTCAGCCTCTTAAATAGCTGGGATTACAGGTGTGTGCTACCACACCTGGCATATTTTTGAATTTTTTAGTAGAGATGGGGTTTTGCCATGTTGCCCAGGCTGGTTTTGATCTCAGGTGATCTACCTGTCTATTTTTGAATTTTTTAGTAGAGATGGGGTTTTGCCATGTTGCCCAGGCTGGTTTTGATCTCAAGTGATCTACCTGTCTCAGCCTTCCAAATTGCTGGAATTACAGGCATGAGCCACTGTGCTTGGCCTGTTTTTTGTTATTGTTTTGAGGTGGCATCTCACTTTGGAGTGCAGTGGCGTGATCCTTGCTTACAATAGCCTCGACTTCCCTGGGCTTAGGTGATCCTTCTGCCTCAGCCTCCTGAGTAGCTGGGATCACAAGTGTGCTCCACCATGCCTGGTTAATTTTTATATTTGTTTCTTTGTATTTGAGACAGAATCTCGCTCTGTCATTCAGGCTGGAGTGCAGTGGCCTGATCTTGGCTCACTGCAGCCTCTGCCACCTAGGTTCAAGCAATTCTCATGGCTCCCAAGTAGCTGGGATTACAGATATGCACTGCCACACCCAGATAATTTTTGCATTTTTAGTAGAGACGAGGTTTCACCATGTTGGCCAGGCCGGTCTTGAACTCCTGACTCAAGTGATCCGCCCGTCTTGGCCTCCTTGGCCCAATTCAGCACTCCTGAAGTGCTGGGATTACAGGCGTGAGCCACCACATCTGGTTAGTTTTTGTATTTGTTGCAGTGACAGGGTTTTGCCATGTTTCCCAGGATAGTGTCAAACTCCTAGGCTCAAGCAATTTTCCCACCTCGGCCTTCCAAAGTGCTGGGATTACAGGTGTGATCCACTGTGCCAAGCTGCATGTCTTATTTGTAGTAGAAATGGGGTTTTGCCATGTTGGCCAGGGTGGTCTTGAACTCCTGACCTCAAGTGATCTGCCTGCCTTCACTTCCCAAAGTGCTAGGATTAAAGGCATGAGCCACTGTACCTAGTCGATACTGAAGTTTTAAAAAAGCATGTGAAAATATAATCCTCAAAGGATCATACGGTTTTTTATTTTAGATGGTTTTAATTGTTTTTGTTGCTATGTAGGGAGTGGAGACGTGGAGAAGGGCGAGATGAGGACAGGTCTCATAGAAGAGATGAAGAGCGGCCCCGGCGTCTGGGGGATGATGAAGATAGAGAGTCCTCTCTTAGACCAGATGATGACCGGGTTCCTCGGCGTGGCATGGATGATGACAGAGGCCCTAGACGTGGCCCTGATGAAGATCGATTTTCTCGTCGTGGGGCAGACGATGACCGGCCTTCCTGGCGTAACACAGATGATGACAGGCCTCCTAGACGAATCGCTGACGAAGACAGGGGAAGCTGGCGTCATGTGGATGATGACAGACCACCTAGACGAGGACTGGATGAGGACAGAGGAAGCTGGCGAACAGCTGATGAGGACAGAGGACCAAGACGTGGGATGGATGACGACCGGGGGCCGAGGCGAGGAGGTGCTGAGGATGAGCGATCATCCTGGCGTAATGCTGATGATGACCGGGGTCCCAGGCGAGGGTTGGATGATGACCGGGGTCCCAGGCGAGGGTTGGATGATGACCGGGGTCCCAGGCGAGGGTTGGATGATGATCGAGGACCTTGGAGGAATGCCGATGATGATAGAGTTCCCAGGCGTGGTGCAGATGATGACAGGGGCCCTTGGAGAAACATGGATGATGATCGGCTCTCAAGACGTGCTGATGATGATCGGTTTTCCAGACGGGGTGATGACTCAAGACCAGGTCCTTGGAGACCATTAGTCAAGCCAGGTAAAATTCTATTTTCTTGAATATGCCTAAGTGTTCACCTGTTAAAGCAAAATTAAGATGGATAAATGTCAGGGCCGTATTGTTACTTTCCAGATAAACTGTTCTTTTGCCTTTCCTTGAGTATCATTGCAGGGACTTACCTGTCAAACATTTGCCTACAGAATACCACCATACAAAACGGATCAACAGCCCAACCCTTCTCTCTTCTTCAGTGGTGTGCTCTTTATTTTCCTTCTGCTTCGTTGACTACTTCTTTGAAGGCTCTTCCTGTACTAATCCCTTCAGTATTGGTGTGTTTTTCAGGTTTTATTGAGAACCAGCCTCCTTTTAAAAATAAATAACTAAAACCAAAATGTACATGATATATTTGTTTCTGCCAACCATGAGATTATGCACGGAGGAACTCATTTTACTTTACTTTCTTTGAGACAGAGTCTTGCTTTGTTGCACAGGCTGGAGTGCAGTGGCACAATCATGGCTCACTATAACCTTGACCTCCCAGTCTCTAGGGAGCTTCCCACCTCAGCTTCCTGAGTAGCTAGGACTACAGGCGCATGCCACCACACCCTGCTAATATTTTATTTTATTTTTTTTGAGAGACGGGTTTCACTATGTTGCCCAGGCTGGTGTCAAACTCCTGGGCTCACTCCTGCATCTCCCTCCCAAGGTGAAGTGCTGGGATTACAGGTGTGAGGCACTGCACCCTGCCTCATGTTCTTTCTTAGCTCTGGGCCTGCTTGTTGTTTCACACTTTATTATTCATGAGCAGTTGTATGCATGTCTGTGATATGTGTCTATTACCATTATCTTTCTTTCTTTTTAAGACCGAGTCTTGCTCTGTTTCCCAGGATGGAGTGCAGTGGTGCAATCCCAGCTCACTGCAACCTCCGCCTCCTGGATTCAAGCGATTCTCCTGCCTTGGCCTCCCAAGTAGCTGGGACTACAGGTGGACACCACCACACATGGCTAATTTTTTTGTATTTTTAATAGAGATGGGGTTTTGCCATGTTGGCCAGCCTGCTTCTCGAACTCCTGACCTCAAGTGATCCACCTGCCTTGCCCTCCCAAATTGCTGGGATTGCAGGCATGAGCTACTGCGTCCAGCCAGTTTTCTCTAGGTGATTTCTGTGTACTGCATGCAGGTGACAGCTGCTTACTGCATACAGCACATCTCCACCTGGTAGTCTCCCTGAATGTCAAGCACAGCCTATCCAAAACTGGATTCATAACTAACACACACACACACACACATGCATTTGTTCACACCCACCCACCCCTCTGATTCTCTTCAGGGGCATGACTGTCCACCTAACTGTCTGAGCTAGGAATCTGGGAGTTGTTTTGTCTTTGTTTCATCCTTTATGTTAAATCAATCAATCCTTTCTTTCTTTCTTTCTTTCTTTCTTTCTTTCTTTCTTTCTTTCTTTCTTTCTTTCTGTCTTTTTCTTTTTCTTTCTTTCTTTCTTTCTCTTTCTCTCTTCTTTATTTATTTTTTGAGGTACTTTTGTGTAAAAGTTAAATCTTTATTTAGTTCAGTTCTGCCTTTTTGATGTTCCTGAAATCCACCCTCTTCTCCATTCCCACTGCTTGTACTTGATCCTGGGTTAGCATCAATTTCCTTATCCCCTAACTGGTTTTTGCTGGCTCTCTGACTCTCAGCTTTAATTTTGTGGGTGGGGGAAATAACAGGAGCAGTTGTTCTACGTGTAGATCTAAGTGAGCTGCTTCCTTGCTTTCCCTAGTTTCTGTTGCCTACTTTGTCTCTTCTGGTGTCACCTCATTCTACTGTTCAGCTGTTAACTTGTGTAAGCCACTTAATTTTTCTTTGCCTTATGTTAACTTGGGTAATAATATGGCAGATTCTTAATAATTTGATAATTATATTTTATAAAGTTGCCATGAATACTGAACTCCTGTTCATAGGGGAAATAGGTTAGGATCTTATGAGCCTCTAGTCATGATATTTTTGTCAGTCAGTCATTCCATAAAATGTCTTTTACGTGTTTAAAGATCCTTTATTTCTGACATGTTGTTGATTATTAACATTGAATTCATGGTCCACAGCATTATAACTCATTCATGAACAAAGCTTATCTAATGCCTGTATTTTCTCCTTAAGGCATATTGTAGCCACCTTGTGCTTGGAGTCACTAAACAGCATTTGTTTCTTTTTTGAGGCAGGGTCTTGCTCTGTCGCCCAGGCTGGAGTGCAGTGAGTGACATGATCTCAGATCACCGCAACCTCTGCCTCCTGGGCTCAAGAGATCCTACTACCTCAGCCTCCTAAGTAAGAGTATAGGTACATATCAGTAAGCCAAGCTAACTTTTGTAGTTTTGTAGAGATGTGGTTTTGCCATGTTGCCCAGGCTGGTCTTGAACTCCCGGGCTCGAGGGATCCACCTTCCTCGACTGCCCAAATTTCTGAGATTACAGGTGTGAGCCACCATGCCTGGCCACTAGACAGCATTTTCGCACTACACTTGGAAGCCATTTTAAACAGTGAAGTCACCAGCAAATTTCTCTCTCTATAATCTATATAAAATGTTCCTAGATTCATATATTCGATGGATAAGTATGAGACATTGTACAGGGTTAAAAGATTTATCCATGATTAATGACTAGATAATGGTGGGCTGGTAAATGGTGGAGGATGGACATATAAAAAGAAAGATTCTTTTTTGGATATGAAGGCCTTGAAAATGTTGCAAGGTATAATAAATACCACAAAATTGGGACTCAGAGAAAACTCTTGAAGTTTTCTTTTTAAATGAGTGATCTGTTTAACATCAGAACAGATACTATGCTGAAATCTGTATGCAACAGGAACAATTATGAAATTTTCAATGATGATTTTGTTTATGGAACACTTAACCCAGATCATTTAAGTTTTTCTTTTTTTCCCCTTCTGTTTTTTTGAGACAGTCTCACTCTGTCCCTTAGGCTGGAGTGCAGTGGTAGGATGTTGACTCACTGTAACTTCTGCCTCCCAGGTTCAAGCGATTCTCCTGCCTCAGCCTCCCAAATCAAGTAACTGGGACTGTAGGCATGCCACCACACCTGGCTAATTGTTGCATTTTTAGTAGAGACAGGGTTTCACCATGTTGGCCAGGCTGATCTCGAATTAATTCCTGGCCTTAAGTGATCCACCTGGCTCAGCCTCCCAAAGTACTGGGATTACAGGTGTGAGCCACCAAGCCTGGCCCATTTTAAGTTTCTTATAGATATATGGTTTTTTTTTTTTTTTTTTTTTTTTTTGAGATGGAGTTCTGCTCTTGTTGCCTAGGCTGGAGTGCAATGGTGCGATCTTAGCTCACTGCAACCTTTGTCTCCCAGATTCACGAGATTCTCCTGCCTCAGCCTGCCAAGTAGCTGGGATTATAGGCATACACCACCACACCTGGCTGATTTTTTTTTTTTTTTTTTTTTTTTTTAAGTAGAGACGGACTTTCTCCATGTTGGTCAGGCTGGTCTTGAACTCCCAACCTCAGGTGATCTGCCCGCCTTGGCCTCCCAAAGTGCTGGGATTATAGGCATGACCTGCTGCACCCAGAAAATACTGTTAATAATGTCTACGCAGTGATTTACACAGCTTTAGTGTTTTTTAAAATTATTGTCTTAAATTATAGAATGATGATGAATCATGATTGCCAATCTGTGTGTTTTTTTAAAAAAATTAAAAATATTTTGCTTTTTCAAAAAAAAAAAAAAAAATAGGTGGATGGAGAGAGAAAGAAAAAGCCAGAGAGGAGAGCTGGGGTCCTCCTCGAGAATCAAGACCATCCGAAGAACGTGAATGGGACAGAGAAAAAGAAAGGGATAGAGATAATCAAGACCGAGAGGAGAATGACAAGGACCCTGAGAGAGAAAGGGACAGAGAGAGAGATGTGGATCGCGAGGATCGCTTCAGAAGACCTCGGTGCGATGTTCTTATCAAATCATTTGTACGGGCTGGGTGCAGCGGCTCATGCCTGTAATCCCAGCACTTTGGGAGGCTAAGGAGGGTGGATTACCTGAGGTCAGGGGTTCGAGAGCAGCCTGGCCAACATGGTGAAACTCCATCTCTATTAAAAATACAAAAATTAGCTGGGTGTGGTGGTGGAGCACCTGTTATGCCAGGTAACTCCCGAGGCTGAGGTTGGAGAATCACTTGAACCCAGAAAGCAGAGGTTGCAGTGAGTGGATATCGCACCATTGCACTCCAGCCTGGGCGACAAGTGAAACTTTGTCTCAAAAAAAAAAAAATTATTTTTACAGCTTCAGTTGGGATTTAGACACTGGCCTGTGTGATCCAAACTATTTTTGAGAAATGATGTTCTTCATTATCCCCCAGCCTCCCCCTGCCCCCATGTCTTAGAATCATAATGAAGGTTTTATAAATGTTTTAGAGGTTATCTAATTGAACATTCCCTCTTAAAGTTAGCAAGTGGAGGAGCAAACTTTGTGACTGTCTATAGGCTGTGTGACTGTTGGGTAATGGAACCAGTATTGCCGTCTTTGCCAGTCCATTGCTTTTCCCCTTGTGGTTTAGGGCAGTTTTCTTGCCCTTAAAAGACCAAAAGCCCCCTGATTTTATTAGTAGTAGAAGTTCTAGCTTGCTTCCTCTGCCTAAGTGGCCTTACACTGCAGACCAGCAGTATTCAGTGCAATTTTCTGCAAGGAAGAAAATGTTCTGTGTACTGGCCAGTATGGTAGTCACCAGTCATATTTGGCTGCTAAGCACTTAGACTATATGGTTGGTGCTCCTGAGGAAATATCCCCATTTTACGTTAGATACATTTAAGCAGCCACATATGGGTAGTGGCTACCAAGTGAGAACAGATCTGGGTGTTCTCTTTTGTCTTCCATGTCCCAGCTATCAGGCGAGGTCAGTTTATGAGTTTAAACTGTCCTTGTTGTATTTGAATTTTGAGCACCAGCTTGGACAGGATGTACTTATAATTATGCATTTGGTCTAACAGTATGAAGAACCTGACTTGTCATTTTAAATTGCTACAGGGATGAAGGTGGCTGGAGAAGAGGACCAGCTGAGGAATCTTCAAGCTGGAGAGACTCAAGTCGCCGGGATGATAGGGATAGGGATGACCGTCGCCGGGAGAGAGATGACCGGCGTGATCTAAGAGAAAGACGAGATCTAAGAGACGACAGGGACCGAAGAGGCCCTCCACTCAGATCGGAACGTGAGGAAGGTATAGAGGTTACATACAACTGAAGTGTTGGAGAACCATCGTTTCTGGTGGGGGGGGATTTGAATTATTTAACTGTACCACAAATTTGAATGAATGCCAACCATAAGAGAGTTGATGTTTATTCCATTTGGAATTCATAATTTTCATACAGTTACTCAGTGGTCATGTTGTGAGGTGTACTTATCTCTAAATTCAAGGTACAGTAGTAGACCAAACTGGATAGCAGGTGATAAATACTGATAAAATTTACTTAATAAAAATAAAAAAATTTATTATTTAAAAGTAAATTCCTGGCAGATTAAGCCCAAAGTAGAAACACCTTTTCTCTTAAATTTTAACAGTTGGAAGTCCATTCTTTTTTAAAATATATGTATTTTTAATTTTTAAAATATCCTTTTTTTGTTGGGTTTTAAGAAATTATTTTTCTGTGTTTTGACATCCTGAGATAATTTTTCTGTTATAGCTGTAACTTTAAACACTTCTATATTATGTGTGGCTAATTTGCTGTTAAAATTCTTCATGAGCCAAAAATCCTTTCAGTTTTAAAATTTTTTTATTTTTTAGAGTCAGGGTTTCACCGTATTGGTCAGGCTGGTCTCAAACTCTGAACCTCAGGTAATCTGCCCACCTCAGTCTCCCAAAGTGTTGGGATTACAGGCATGAGCCACTGCGCCTGGCCCTTAAAATTTTTATTTGGCCAGATTTTTGCTACCTTGTCTTATGGGTTTATACCAATTATAGTCCTTCCCAGGCCAGTGGCTTCTGCTGGTTTTCAAATTTTGAGTTTTATCTGTACATCTGTATGTTAAAAATTTTGTCAGGGGCTGGGTGCAGTGGCTAACGCCTGTAATCCCAGCACTTTGGGAGGCTGAGGCGGGTGGATCACTTGAGGTCGGGAGTTAGAGACCAGCCTGACCAACATGGAGAAACCCCATCTTTACTAAAAGTACAAAAATGAGCCAGGTGTGGTGGTACATGCCTGTAATCCCAGCTCTTTGGGAGGCTAAGGAAGGAGAATTGCTTAAACCAGGAAGGCAGAGGTTGTGGTGGGCTCAGATCTCACCATTGCACTCCAGCCTGGGGAAAAGGAGCAAAACTACATCTCAAAAAATATAAAAAGATTTTGTCAGAAATCATAAGAGCTTTAATTATGATTTTGTATTGTTAATCTTTAGGAATTTTGGGTAATTTGAGGCATTCTTTCTGCTTGTTAATTTGAGCCAATAGAATATAGTACTTAGTTTTTTTTTTTTTTTTTTTTTTTTAAATTAAACTTTTTAGTAAGTTCTTGGAGACGTGCTGATGACAGGAAGGAGGACCGGGCAGAAGAGCGGGACCCTCCTCGTCGAGTTCCTCCCCCAGCTCTTTCAAGAGACCGAGAAAGAGACCGAGACCGAGACCGAGAAAGAGAAGGTGAAAAAGAGAAGGCCTCATGGAGAGCCGAGAAAGATAGGGAATCTCTTCGTCGTACTAAAAATGAGACTGATGAAGATGGATGGACCACAGTACGACGTTAAGTCTCAAGATAACTGATTTAAACTGGTGTCTTCAATAGGTTTGATCACATTCAAGGATTATTATACTTGTGCTTCAGCCAATCTAAATTGGATTCTTTAATGTTGTTTCACCATAACACAAAAAGCATGAACTTGTATTAATCCTATATAATAGATTGATCATGCACCATATCCACAGGAGGTTGGAAAAACCATGCCATTTTCTGGAATTTAGGGGTGTTGCATTATTTCATCAATCATTTGTTGACAAGAAACCTAAAAAATAAATTTAAAATGTGAACCTTCAGGTATTGAGTAACACCTTTATCTTGGTATAGAACTGATCTTTTTTTAAAATTTTATTTTGAAATACATTAATTTGGAATGAAGTAAGATTCTGTTAAAGAAAACATATTTGAAGACCCTTTAGAATCTGAAACGATTTTCACACCTTTTCAAGTGGTTGAAATATACCTCTTTTAGGTATTTTGAGGTATTTACCACAAACTAAATTTAGGAAGTTTTTAGATTCACTTTAACATTACAAACATTGGATGCAGTGTGGCTTTCTTTAGATTTTACGTGAGAGAAGGTGAGTATAAAGCAATTTGCAGTTACTATTGTAATGACAAGAATACTGCCCAAGTGCGAATCCAAACAGTACAGCTTTTAAATTTTAAAGCATTTGGTCTAAGTTTTTTTTTTTTCTGTTGCCAATAGCAAACTGCTTTTCCATTAACGGAGAATTCATGCCTTTCAAGCATTTTAAAATATGACAATATTTATAAATGTATGGTTTGGAGGAATCGTTTAAATTCTCTTTCCTAATATTCTTTCTCTTCAAGATAGATTCTTTCAACAAGTAATTTGTAGTAATGACTGTGTTGACTTCAATTTTGGAGTGTAGTAGCTATGTTAAAGATTAACTCTTTGGTCTCATTGAAGCCAACACAGAACTTGCTGCTGTGTTTTTTCTTCAGTGATAAATAAAATACTTACAGAATTTGTTTTAGTGTTGATTTGTGGTTATAGTTAGTATTTTGTTTATAATGGTAAGTTTGCATATTCAGTTGAGTTTTTTACTTGAATTTTTATCAGTGCCATTAAATGTCTGTGTTTAGTATCAACGAAAATGAACCTAAATATAACAAAGCCTATGTGGCTAGGCTTTCTCCCCTAAAATGTCTTCCTTTGTTAATGCAGGAATTCCTTAGTTTCCTTGTAAGGCCGTCCTCTTGAGTTTGTGTGTGCATGTGTGTGTTTGAAGTACCACCTTGGGTTTTCACCTGAAATTAGAAAAATCATAGTTAATTTGAGAAAATATTACAAATTCATCATGGCTGTAGGCACTTACTATTTCTGTTATTGAGTAGTGGTGAGAATTCATATTGGTACAGCTGTAGGGCCAGAAGAGGGAGTATTAATGCTTTTTTACTTAACCAGATGCAGCCTTTTCTGTTTGATGTTACCAATTATAGAAGTCATTTTAAACACCTTTCTTATTATCTGGTACTTCAAATAAGTAGAAGTCTTAAAAGGTCTTTTGTGAAGGACTTTTCTTTCCTAACAAGAGAATTTCAGATCAGTGGTTATAAGTGGGGCAGTAAACCTGCTAAGAGTTTGCTTCCTGGAGAGTAGATCTGTACATGTGACATCACAGGTAAGCCCCAATTATTTATTTAATCAGATTTGTTCAGATGAGTTAACAGCTGCCTACATCAGTGTTAGGTTTCAAGGCTAGTCAGCAAACCCATCCTTTCTGCTCAGTTTCCTGTACTGTTTTCCCAAGTTCTTTGTCCTGGGACTCAGAACCCAAGTGCAAGAGGAGGGCAGAAGAGTCCGATGCTGTTACTTTGCAATCCTACTCTTGGTTTCCAGGCTGTACAACCCTGTCTACTCCCTGGTATTTACCAACAGGTGTTAAAGGAAAGCTGAACAACTGGCCTACTCACCGATCTGCTAGGTGGTCTTCCATGTTCCCGGTGGCTTCTGCAGTTTTCATATAGAATAACATTGCTGTTAATACAGATGGATCCGATGGCCGAGACATCATCGGTCCAAAAAAAGACTCTGCATCTCATTAGTTGTCTATAGTGGCTACCAGGAGGTGGTTGGCATCTATAATGTGTGGGATGGGACGTTTTTATGTCAAGAACTACCTGTGTTTTTTTTTTTAACCAAAGATACTGACCATAGATTGATTTATACTTTTATAAGTCTAATTGAAATATATGGGGTACTGTCAAAGGACTGTTCTTGAGTGGCTACGATTAGAAAATCAGGACTAACAAACTTTTCTTTGTCTGGAAGCATATATATTTGTGATATAATTTTAATATGTATAATTTTAGTTTAATAAATCAAATCTATGACAAAAGTTGTTCTCATCAAAGCTAATAATTCTGCAACTTCCAAAAAGGACTTTGTTGGAAAATTAAAATACAAAGAAAAATAAAAGCCACTAGAAATTTGAGTCTGTACAGAAAAGAACAGGTTAAGACAATCTGTACCTCTATAGTTGGAGAAGCCCTTTTGAGTATTCCCTGTATTTTGCTACTTAGCCAAGCATGCGGCATGTTCTTGCTAAGATAATTGTCACAATTACTTTGCATATTTCTTAAACTCTGAGAAATTGTTTCTCTAAATGTAATTTTGCAAAATGTTTGAAGTTTCACATTGAGTTCCAAAGATTTTTAAATGAATGTGTTTACATGTACTTTTCAAAAGAACTCTAGAAAATTAACTAGTCATATTCTAACTTCCAGTATTCATTGTCAGCTGGAAAACCTAGGCATATGTGCACAGGGGCTGAAAATGGGGTACTTTTTTTTTTTTTGAGACAGTCTCCCTCTGTTGCCCAGGCTGAAGTGGAGGTGCAGTCTGAGCTCACTGCAACCTCCGCTTCCGGGGTTCAAGCAGTTCTCCTGTCTCAGCCTCCCAAGTAGCTGGGATTACAGGCACCTGCCACCACGTCCAGCTAATTTTTATATTTTTAGTAGAGATGGGGTTTCCCAGCATTGGCCTCAAACTCCTGACCTCAGGTGATCCACCTGCCTCAGCCTCCCAAAGTGCTGATTACAGACATGAGCTACCATGCCCGGTCTGAAAATGGGGTACTTTAAAAATAGATGATAGTGGCTGCCTGACTAGTTAACAGAGGGTCTTCTGGATACGTTTCCTAATACTCTCCTGCCCTCAGGAAACTCCAGCTCAACGTGTTCTTAGTTCTGGTAAAATAGTAATAATGGTGTCAGAATGTGAAATTAACATTAGGCACATCTCGTCACAGTAACTTCACAGCCTCACAGACCGTCTATAATTTGACTCTTAAAAATACAAAATAGCTTAGTTGATCTTGCCACCTGCCTAGCCCTTTTGGCCTAGAGTAATGGATTGATCTGTTTATAGTGGTCCTTTGAAAAGGCAGAACTGGAGCAGTGGGAGAGGTAGGATTCGTGTTGACCTTAGAAACTTCACCCAGAAAGTGAAGCTCATTTAAATTGTTATATTTTCTAGTAAAAGGATGATTACAGTTTCATTAAGCTACTTAATTCAGGCCCAATCAGATCTGCAGTTCTCTAGTCTGGGAAGACTAGCAGGGTTGGATTTTCTCTTTCCTGGCTAAGAAATTGCTTTTCCCCTACCCGCCCCGGGATTCTTGATATGCACCTTTGCCCAAAAAGACAGCTGTCCAGTATTTTCCCCACCCTCTAAACACACCTTCAAATGAAGGTTCCTGATTGAGCCAATTTGCTGTGGAGGAAGTTAGCTGTGGAATGTGAAAGCAGTCTAATTGTCTAGCTAAATCCTCCTGCTGGGAGCGTAATACACGTAACACTGAATTTCGTGCTGGTATCTTCAAATAGTGATGCATTTCAGATGAGTTCATCTTAATTCACTTATTTTTGCCTTCTACATCTGTCTTGATTGGCAGCCACACTGGCTGCATTCCAGTGTGGCATTCAGTATGGCGGATTTAAAGTTGAGGGTGGGAGGGTAAAGTAGGGGTTAGGAACTGTTGCCTAAGGATCAGGTTTAGTTTTATGGGTAACTGGTGGGGTTCCGGAAATGGACGTGGGTCTTCCAGTAGGAATGGCAACATGAAGGACCTCCAACAATTGCTTTAATTAGTGCTTATTCTAGTTTGAGCACTGCCTGTATTCTTAAGGTCAGACGCAGCCCACGGTCGAACCTTCTTGAATACGAGTTGATAACACGAACAGGTCAGAGCTAGAGATCCATCTTCTATTTGAGAGGCAACAGCTGGAATGGGCTTTCCTCCACTAGGAACCCTGAAACTGAGCAATCCAGGGTGAATTAATACTGGTGTCTTGTCTTCCTCCCTTTGATCGTAATATAAACGTTTTTCAAGAAGTGAGTGTGTAGAGAAAAGGCCAAGTAGGAAAGTTACAGGTGAGATTAATGAATTCATACTGTTACTGTATAAATACACAAGTTTTTTAAACAGCACCATTTCCAAGTTATACACAATATGATTACGACTTGGCACAACTTTTAAAGGTGGAAAAGGCTAGTTGCTAGTTCAGTAATAAAAGATCTGGTACATAAAATGATAAGGAGCTGTATTCTACCTGCTACAGACTGTGCATCTTACACCTCCAGCTAGGACAGAAACAAGCCACAAGGAGGGAATACCCGCCCAAATTAATACTGGAAAGTTTACAAAACCTTCACTTCTCATAAGGGTGATGCTACCAGGGGCTTGCTTCATCTGGAATTAGAGTAACTGATTTTTAAGGACAACTAAGAGTATTACTCGCTTCAAACAATAAAATAGTCACTTTGCCGACATTTCATAAAATCGCCAGTTTTAAGCTCAGTTCAGAGGCTTTTAAAAAAATATTCTAGACCTAGTAAAGTGCCTCCATTCATAAAATGAAACATCCAAGATTAGATTGAGACAATTTCATACTGACGCGCATCTAAAATAGGTCGACGTATACAGTAAATAAACAGCGCCTCTATGTTGCCATATTTCAGTTAGTGGAATACACACCCAGCCTTCGCCGTTCTGGATGTGCAAACTAGAAACTGAAGACAAACGGGAATTTCAGCGTCTAGTCCCAACCGCTCCGCACGAAAGTACTCCACACGGTCGCTGCTTTTGAGAAACCAGGACGACGTCCCAAGTCGAGCTGACTGCTGAGCCAGGGGCGAGATGCTGCGCAGACCGAGCGGTTCGAGGGGCGGCAGTAGCGACCCTGGGGAGCCGAGAGCCAGGGTCCTCAGCGCAGCTTCTTACCGGGTGGGCAGTCCCTGGCGCTGCGGGGCGGCGGGCGGGCGGGCGGCGGCGGCGGCACTTTGGAGAGGGGGCAGTACTTGATGGTGTGCGCGTTGTCGCCGCTGGCGCCGCAGAGGGGACACGTGTAGCGGCGCAGCACAGGGCACAGCACTCGCCCGTCGGGGCCCTTGAGGATGTGGGTGGTGTAGAGCGCCATCGCCTCCTTGTTGTTCCGGCAGAACACGCACACCTGCAGCTCCGGCTTCAGCAGCCGGGAGGCCGCCGCCCCGGAGGCCGCGTGCAGCCGGGGCTCTGCCGCCCACGCCGGGGCCCGCTCTTCGCGCGGCGTCGCCTCGCCGGTGGTGGTGGTGGTGGCGGTGGCGGTGGCGGCGGCGGGCGCACAGCCCAGCAGCACGGCGGCAGCGCGACCCGCGAACGGGCTCAGCTCGGCGAAGCGCTCCTCCAGCAGCCCGGCCTCGGCGGGGCCAGTGCAGAGCTCCAGTGCGCGCAGCTCCAGCGCGCCCCCCAGGTAGCGGCCCCGGGACCCCGGCTCGTCGCTGTCGTCGTCGTCGTCTTCGTCGTAGTCGGGCGGTCCCAGCGCTGGCTCCAGCGCCCCGGGCCCGGCTCCCCCGTGTGGGGAGCAGCAGGACGAGTGGGAGGAGGAGGGCGGGGAGCCGCCGCCGCCGTTCCCACCGCGGGCGTAGCCGAAGCGCGGCTCGCCGTCCACCGCCTTGGTGATGAGCGTGGCGAGCCCCAGGTAGTCGTTCCAGGAGCTGAAGGGCTGCGGATGCGCCGGGCCCGGGGCGCTCACGTAGCGGGCGCTGGGCACGAGCGCCATGGGCGCGGGGGCGCGGCCGCGGCGGGGCGACCAGGGGAAAGCCTCCATGGGCTGGCTGCGGGCCGCGCGCCGCCTCCCCGCCGCCGGCGCGGGCCGGACGGAAGACACGCGCCAAGCCTGCCCGCCTGCCTGCCGCGGGGTGGGGCCGCCGAGCCGATTTTTATCGGACCTGCTCCTCCCCGCCCCCCGGCCTCGCCGCCGCGGCCCTGCCCCCTGCGCTCCCCCGCCCCGGCCACCTCGCCCGCGCCCTGGACGGAGGCGGAGCGGAGGCGGGCGGACTGTGAGCGCGCTCCGCTCCGGCCCGCGCGGCTCCCGCGCCCCGTGCGCTGCGCCAGCCTCGCCAGCTGCCGGGCGGCCTTCATTCCGGGAGGGGGCGGGTGAGGCGCCGCCTCGGGCCGCGGCGCTCATTGGCTGCCGACCATAGACCCGGCGCCTCGGGCGCCGCTCCGGATGCTGATTGGTGGGGTCTGGGGAGGGGGGCGTGCTCTTTACGTCCCTGGGAGGTGAGGAGAAAGTAGGGGAGAGCGCCGGGGAGGGGCGGCTGCCGGGGCCGGCTTCGTCTGAGCGCTAGGCCTGTGATTGGAGCAAGTGACCAGGCCTGGGTCTCCTCGGCCTGGTAGTGAGGCCCACCGAAGACGGGGTCAGGGTGGCCACAGGTTCACGCCCCCGTCTCCCAGCCTTTAATGGCCCCAGGCCCGCATCCTGAGAATCCCCGCTGTCCACCCCCTTCTCACCAACATCAGCAAGAAAAGCTGGACGCGATGGAAGGATGCAGCTTTCCCATCACAGCCCGCCCAACCAGCCAGTGGCTTCCGTTTGCACCGCGCGTTGGAACGCTTTCTCCTGTGCGAAATCCACACAAACCCTGAGGTTCGGGGAGGCTGTGGTTCCTGCTGTGGTAAGAGCGGAGGGACGCAGGACTTTTCCCAGCAGCCTTCCTCCCAACAAGTGCTCAGGAACCTCAGCTAATGGGTCGCCACAACACGGTGACTTAGGTCGGGGTTGGGCTGGGTCAGAAAATCTCATGGCTGGAGAGCCCAGGACAGTGATTGGGGTGTGTGTGTGTGTGTGTACCCCCTTGCCCCAGAGGCCTGGGTAAAAATGTGGGTTGTATGTGCACTTTGAAAAAACATGTAATCAATGTTCTGTTTTGTCTCCTTCCTTTCTTTTTCTCTCTTTTTTTTTTCTTCTTGCCTTGTTTTTTTTTTTTTTTTTTTTTTTTTTTTGAGACAGGGTCTCACTATGTTGCCTAGGCTGGTGTTGAACACCTGGCCTCAAGCGATCTTCCTGCCTTGGCCTCCCAAAGTGCTAGGATTACAAACATGAGCCACCACACCTGGCCTCAACGTTATAATTAAACACTTTCAAATGAATAAAACATGTTGTGTAAAAGCCATGGAGAATAAGAGCCAGAAGATGAGTTTTGATTAGGAAGATGACAGGTGGTCTTATCCTTTCCAGCTTTTTAAAAAATTGAAAGTAGGAAAGGCTTTAGATGTTGAGGGCTCTTCTAGGATGAAACCTAGAACTGGGATCAGGAAAATGCCTTCCCTGGTAGATGGGCTGTGGCAGGGTGGGCTGCATGGGGCGGGTGGGGGTTTCCTTCCCCATTCTGGACCATGCAGTGGCTGAGGAAACAGTGAGCCCTCACTAGGCCTGAGGCCACACTCACATGTCTTGGCTGTGCCCAGCACATTTAGAATGGCCCAGCAGGTGATGCCCAGAACCTGGTGCTGGCATTGGTTAATATTAGAGTGAGTGAGTGAGGGAATCAGAATGTCAGCATGGGAAGGGATCTTTGGGATTATTCTGTTAGATCTTTCCTTGCCTTTTTTTTTTTTTTTAATAGACGGACTCACTATGTTGCCCAGTCTGGTCTTGAACTCCTGGCCTCCTGCCTTGGCCTCCCAAAGTGCTGGGATTACTAATGTGAGCCACTGTACCCAACCTGAAGTCCAGTCCTTACAGATGAAGAAAATGAGGCCTAGAGAGTAGGACTTTTTTTTTTTTAATGAGACAGAGTCTCAGCCTGTTGCCTAAGCTGGAGTGCAATGGCATGATCTCAGCTCACAGCAACCTCCGACTCCCAGTTCACATGATTCTCCTGCCTCAGCCTCCTGAGTAGCTGGGACTGTAGGCATGTGCCACCATGCCCAGCTAATTTTTGTATTTTTAGTAGAGATGGGGTTTCACCATATTGACCAGGCTGTTTTTGAACTTCTGAGCTCAGGCAATTCTCCCACCGCAGCCTCCTAAAGTGCTGGGATTACAGGTGTGAGCCACTGCACCCGGCTGAATAGGACTTCCTTAAGGCCACAGTGATGATATGACAGAACTAAGGCTCAGGTCTTGTTACTCCTGCCGGGTGGACTTCCCACCACATCACAGACTGGGAAGGTATCTCAGACAATGAGTCTGTGCATGTCTCATTAGAACTCTAAGGCAGAACACACGGGAAGCTGGAAAGTGAAGTGAGGTGGGGTGATGTGGCCTTGCCCTCAAAGAGCAATCCAGGGCTGTGGCTGGTAGGTGTGGGAAAGGACTCGAAGCAGTGAAGTGAGGCCTGTTTTGGCCGCCTCTCTGGGTTAGGGGTTAAAGATCCAGCAGCGCCTCTTCCTCTTAGTCCCCAATGGTTGATGTAAGTCATGAAACCAGGCAGCAATATTCAGCACTTGCCAACCCAGCTCCTTTTCCAAGTTTGTGTTGGCATGCAAGGTAGAAAGTCTTTCCTTTATTTCCTCCCCCTCTCCACCAAAAATAAATAAAAGAGCCTTGGTGCCGCAGGGCTCCTGCAGAAGCCTGGTAGGTTTACTGACCCTGAACTCGGAGCCCTTACCATGAGACCTCCAGCCCTCAGAGTGATATGAAGATTATTATTCTATGAATGGAAAATTCCACTGGGTTCACACAGCCCTCCAGCCTGCATACTTTCAAGGTATGCAGACTTTTCAAGCTCTGAAGATGGGGAGCCCCAGTTCTGAGAATAACTTCGGCAGGGAAAGTTTAAAACTGCAGCTGCTGTGTCTGACTCCTCTTGGTCAGGCCACAGAGATGATGGCACAGAAGCGGAGGCCTTCTTCCCTCCCCACATGGTTTTCAGCCCTTGTGCTTGTATGGGGAGAATGAAAGCTTTTAAGGGAATATGAATAGGAACAAACACCTTAGCTGGGACCTGCAGCCTGGGTGTGTGGGAAGTGGAGATGGGACAGAGATGCCCCAGGAGGAAGTGGAAGAGTGAATGTGGCTTGGGGTCTGCCATGTGCTATTTCCCCAGGCTGCTCCCCTTGACTGCCATACGAGGTAAATAGACATTTGACCCAGAAGGGAAGTCAGGAAGTGGAGGTCAAGTGTGTGCAGGCTTTTGTCCTGGAGCACATGCTGGGCCTCGGTACTCTGTGAACCTTTGCTGTCAGTGACCATAGAAAGAGCAGGGTGGGCACCCGGCCCAGCTCTGGGTTAAATAAACAGTGACTTTTGTCCCACAGCAATAGGCCTGAGCCTGGCTGTGAGCTCTCCAGCTCTTTGAGGTGCTGGGACTGACTCCAGAGATGTTCTTAGCGCCTCTGATGAAGTCTGACTGCTTTTTGCTCACTTTGCAGGAGTCTGGAATGATACAGACAGAAACAGCCAGTCTGTGAAAGTTTCTTCAAGGTATCCGGCAGAGGCGGGAAGGCAGGTGGGCATGGGCCACACCTCAGAAGTTAGAGGGTGCTATTTGGTTTCTTCTGGAGTGGGGCCTGCCTGGTATTTGCCGAGGGATCTGGCAGGGCAGGGCTGGGCGGTGGGTTCTGTGCTCCCACCTCTCCGCATGGCCCCCAGCCCGGCCATTTCCTTTGCTGGCAGCAGAACTGAACCCTGTGAGGCAGCACACAGACCTCAGGCTCCTGAGGTTCTTCAGAAACATGAGGTCAGGCCTGGGGAATGAGGCAGCTTGGCCAGGGTTCAGGTGGCTGCAAAGATGCTGTTTGTCAAGCTCTGGGTTCCTGCTGACCCCCTGCCAGGCCTTTGCCAGGGACAGAAAGTGCTTTGGCTCCCTCAGTGGTGGGCCTGGAGGTGGGTGAGGCGCATTTGGGCACGAGGGGCTCTCTCCTGGCTGACTTTGTCCACATTAGGGCTCTGTCAAGCTCAGGGGGTCCTGGGATGGGGCTTGGGCTTGGAGTGTGCTGTTGTGGGGAAGCCATATGGTGAGGTGGGGAGAGCTTACTGAGCCCTGGGGCTGTGGTTGCACCCTGGTCCTGGTGCAAAGTCATGTGTAGCTGTGGACAAGCGACTTAACCTCTCTGGGCCCCAGCTCCTTCTGGTCAGTGAAGGGCTCTTGTCAAGTAAAATGGCAGCCGCTCCCCCTCCTTGCCGACTTACTTTGTTTTGATTCCCTCCATCAGCCTCAGGGCTTAACTGTGACAGGTTTAAGCCACGCAGAAACATCCCATTTCCCCTGGTCACCGTTGGGTAAGAGGAGGGCTGGTGACCAATTCTGGCCCTGGAGGTCTCAGCGGACATCTGCTGTCTGCTGGGAGAATTCTGGGAAGGGGCTTGTGCCCTTATTTAAAAAGGGGAAAGAAATCAAGAACCAGGACCCTCATCTTCTTCAGCTCAGGCTATAGAGCTGAGGTGACAAGGCTTAAGGACACAAAGCTGGCATGAGGTGATGGCTTACCAGAAAAGTTAAAACAGAAAACAAACCTTGGTGATATTTTTATTGATGACTTGGTGACTTGTTACACAAGATAATAAATATCTTTATTGTTTCAGCCACTTCCAGTATGTATGTATGTATTTATTTATTTGAGTCAGTGTCTTGCTCTGTCACCCAGGCTGGAGTGCAATGGCGTGATCTCGGCTCACTGCAACCTTCAGCTCCCAGGTTCAAGCGATTCTGGTGCCTCAGCCTCCTGAGTGACTGGGATTACAGGCATGTGCCACCACACCCAGCTAACTTTTGTATTTTTAGTAGAGACAGAGTTTCAACATCTTGGCCAGGTTGGTCTTGAACTCCTGACCTCAGGTTGATCCACCTGCCTCAGTCTCCCAAAGTGCTGGGATTACAGATGTGAGCCATGGCACCCAGCCCAGGTATCCTTTTATACTTGCAGTTGACTTCATTCTTTTTTTTTTTTTTTGAGATGGAGTTTCGCTCTTGTTACCCAGGCTGTAGTGCAATGGCACGATCTCGGCTCACCGCGACTTCCACCTCCTGGGTTCAGGCAATTCTCCTGCCTCAGCCTCCTGAGTAGCTGGGATTACAGGCACACGCCACCATGCCCAGCTAATTTTTTGTATTTTTAGTAGAGATGGGGTTTCACCATGTTGACCAGGATGGCCTCGATTTCTTGACCTCGTGATCCACCCGCCTCGGCC